ACAGCGACTTGTTTAAACTAACATACAGTATTTAACCAAACCAGCAGATTTCTTAACCCCCTCCTAACCCCCTACCATCCTGCCCGCTCCGTCCACTCAGCAGGCTCCAGCCTGCTTCATGTTCCCCCCTCTGCCCTCCCCACCATTGGCGGGTGAGCCTTCTGCCACTCTGCCCCCAGCCTCTGGAACTCCATTCCACAGCCCATCCACCTCACCCCCCCCCTCTCTTGTCTCTTTCAAGACCCATCTCAACACCCTCCTCTTCACCCATGCTTTCGATCATCCTGCTTCCCTCCCTGCCCCTCCCCAATCCCGATCCCCAGCTCGGGTCCAGTGCCTTGGGACATCCGCCCGACATGAAAGGCGCTATAAAAATATAATTTTGTTGTTGTCGTAAATTCTCTGGAACTAAAAAATGTTTGATGCTCTACAATATACTTATGCAGTAATATGCTGTTATTGAACTGCTAGCCTTCTGCACTACCTTAAATGTTCAAATGATTAAATATTAAATAATAGGGTTATTGTATTCAAACTACAAATAGGGTTTGTTGATGCTGAGTGCTTAGGTTTTACTTTGAAAAGTGCCTAATTTTGTAAATTAGAAGAGTTGGCAGTCTTTCACATCTGCAAGTATCAAGTCAATGAAACAAACCTCTTGAAAACTCTAATATTCAACATTATTGTCCTTGAAAAAAAATCACTGAATATGATGGAACATTGCAGCTCAAAATACAATGAAGAAAGCAATATTGAATCTTGGAGCAAAGCATTAAACAGTATAGTTACAATATTTGTTATTTTTCTCTGAGAGTTATATTATTGGCTTCATATATGGAATACTTGTGAAGCACATGAAAATTATTGGGTTCAGGGTTGGAAGGATGGGGGGAAAGAAAAGAGGGTAAAACATGCCATCAGAAATTATAATGCATATTTCAATACAGATTTTTGTTCTGGTGATATGAGGCCCGACACTTCAATCATTTCCGAGTGAATGGTTGAGTGTAAGACAGATACATGCAGGCTCTGTCTGCTGCACAGAAGCACTTTCTATGGAACAGCATTAATAAAATCAGGATTTGGTGGATTTACATTTAAAAAGACAGAACTGTCTTGTACATTTAATTAAATTTACCTCAACAGTATAAAGTGCTGCTGTAAAGTTTTGCCTAGGGAAACTGCAGATAATCTTTTCCATCAGCCTGTCTGCAGATAGATGCAAGAACAGTTTTGCAGTGCTTCTGTGGGGATTTTTTTTTTAAAAATCACCAGAATCCTCTGGATAAATTCAGTCACGGAATACTGTGTATTGCTGCCATGCGTGAAGTTAAAATAATAACTCATAATATGCGCTAGATAATATAGCACACGAAAACGAAACATCAACTGCATTGATCATCTCAAGGTATAATTAACAGCGCGCCAGTAAATTCTCACTGGTCGGGGGGGGGGGGGGGGGTTGAGGTGGGTGTTGGGGGAAGAGGATAATGGGTGTTGCTTCAAAATAAATAGTAAAAAGACTCGCTGAATAGATCTGTTTCATATAACAGTTATTAGCTTGTCTTGAGTTTTGTCTAACCAGTGCACATAAATTATATCGATTGTTTTCAGAAACACAAAGTAATCTTGTTTTTCCTTGGTGGGTGGGGGCTGGTTGGAACTTGCTTCTTTTGTACATTTTGAGTTGCAGTCTGCCCCGTGATGGAAAATGATTGTTAATTTCTGTTGACCTTATAAAGGCACTGACTTTCAAGGCTTTAAGGCACGATAAGGATATGAATCTTCCTCTGTTGCTGTTAATGTTTACCAGTTCTGCCTGGAAAGAAATTAGCTTGCAGCTGTTGGCAGCTGCCTGTGTATTGTTGGCAAGTGAGTCAAATACAAAAGAAGCATAGAGACTTAGAACAAAGACCAAAGCAGAAATCAGGACCAAGTGTCAAAATCCTTACAGAATGCATTTGTAATTCATATCATTTCCTGTTTGCATTCAACAGTAATGGGTGATTGTTAATGAAAGCTGCTGGCTGGTAACTCAGCATAATATATTCTCATTTTTGTCCTAGCGTGACTATGGCAGAGTTTAGTATGCGATCTGCTCATATTCATTGCTAGCACACTTACAAGCTCGCTGACTATTTTTTAAATTACAATTTAAGGTCAGTAACAAATGATTTGGAAAAAAAACAAGAACGTGGACACATTTCAATCCACGTCCACTAAAGTACTTGTACAGGGTGACCAAAAAGTTGTGATAACTGCCCTATAAATTATAAAAATAAAAAAATTGGTCACTCAATCCAGCGGTGTTTGTGGGACACTGCTGTACACAATTGGCTGCTGCATTTTGCCCACAATATGCACAGTCACTACACTTTACATGCTTCACATGCTGTGAAGCGCTTTGAGACGTCTTGAAGATGTGATGAGGCGCTATAGCAAATGCAAGATTTATTATTATTATCTAAAAAATATATCATTGCTTTAATTAGACATTGTAACGGTATTACGACTTATTGGTCACCCTGTATTTGCAACCGTGAGCCATGAGATCAGTTGGAGTTACTCCCTTGCTAATGATTTCTTCTTAACTTCAAAATGCTGTAGATTTATGTTCTTTTAATTTATAATTTGGCTTCACGCAGTGAGTCCTGATGTGACTATGGAAATTCCCTCCTTGTCGGCCTCCCCAACTTTTCCCTCCACAAGCTGCAGATCATCCAGAACTCTGCAACTCGTGTCCTCTCCACACGAGGCTCCGTGACCCCATCAGCTCCACCCTCGCTCGGCTCCCCTGGCTCCCCATCCCTCAGAGGATAAAATTTTAAATCCTCTTCCTCACTTTCAGGGCCCTCCATTACATTACCACCCCCCCCCCCCCCCCCCCCACCTTCCTGACCCCCCCCCCCCCGTCCGCTCCCTCCGCTCAGCAGGTTCCGGACTGCTCCCTGTCTCTCTCCCAACCCGGCCTTTCAGCCTCTCTGCCCCCACCCTTTGGAACTCCATCCCATAATCCCTTCGCCTTGCTCCCTCCCTTGCCTCCTTCAAGACACGGCTCAAGACCCTCCTTTTCAACCGTGCCTTTAGCCGCCCTCCTACCTCTCTGCCCTCTCTCATCCCAACCCTGCACGCACTCCCCCACGCTCAGGTCCTGATCCCTGACTGTTCAGTGCCTTGGGACGTCCTCCCGACATGAAAGGCGCTTTACAAATATAATTGTGTTGTTGTTGTCATCCTCACTTGCTCAGAGAAGTTTCTGACACCTTCAGAACATGAGAAAATTAAATCAAAATTCACAGTCGCACTTTGTCACCATCGTCACTAATAATTCACACAATTCAAGGTCTGCACAGAAGCTAGTCTGAGATCAGGAAGTTAGGAGGCAGCCCAGGGACAAATCTTCCCATTAAGTGGGGAGTTGTTTACCCTCCCTTTATGATCTCTTTTCAGTATGTGGCTGAGGTCAGCAGTCAGGAGTCTGTTCGGAGCCTAGTGTTCCCTTAGCTCAGTGGCACTGTATGTTGATGCCGCAGTGCAATGTGCCACTGCCTTACCTCTCTTTTAACTCTGTTATTTTTTATTCAAAATAGAACCCTGATAGGAAGATTTACACTTGAACTCCTGAGATTTATCTTTAAATTAAATCTGGGTTTGGTGTGATCAAACATCATCTCTGGTTTCGGAATTTAAGATTACCCTGACCGAAGTCTAACCTGATATAAACTAAACCGGCGTAATTATGTATTGTACATGAATAAGGTAATGGCATATGCCGCAGCTCATTACAATAGCAATGCATCATTCATGGACCAGTCACTTGGTTCAAATCTTCAATACCTCTTCTGATCCTATTGTTAAAAGTGCAATCTTGGTTTCACTTTGCTCTTTAAGAAACATCCCCAACCCCCCCCTCCAAAAAAGGGCATTACTGTGTAGTCTAATCTGTTCAGTTTAAAATAGTTCCATCTTAAGTGCCCGTTTACACTATTTTAAATTGCATCTTTCTTGTGTTGACTTTCAATTGCTGTAACGTGCTGCCATCTAGTACAGTCATTGCATCTCTCTGTGTAATTACTGTGCCTGCTTCTCACCTGCTTCCCATTCTTATCAGTGTCTTCTCTGCTGACTTGTGTGGTGCGGCACAGATTATCGTGACTGCCATTTTCCTGAAAAATGTGTTGGTAAATTGCTTCGGTTGAAGACTCGCTGGGTTCAAATCCCACCTAGCTGTAGCCTGTGACCATTTTAATCACAAATTTAAAGGTTGCATAGAATTGTGGAAAATTCTGAAATTCAGTCTTAACTGAGATAAACTGGCTTCCAGATTAGGACTTCATTCAACATTTTTTTCTCAATTTTGCACAACCTTACATTTTTGAAGAAGGGTTGTCCTCCAGGCTTAGACTAGGTGGAATTTCAGGCCCACAGTTCTAGCCTCAACAACAGTAGCTTCATTGTTTATATGTGAATGATGAAATGGAGGGGACATCGTAACTGGGCATTCATGTCACTGACTGATAGCTTGAATCCTTGAACTCATTGAGGAATAGGAAAATGCAGTGAGGTATTCAATGAAATGAAAAGAAGAAGTAATGGAAGAATTCCCTTCATAAACTGAACTTTAAAGCTTTATAGACATAACACATAGATATAGTTAGGAATGATCATAATTAGAGTGGAGCTGTGTTACAACACAGTAATTGTCAGCCCATAAAATCCCAACCAATGCTATAACAGGGCACGAATAGGGCAGGTCGGCATTTCAGGGTTCACTGCGCACACACTACAAAATACTAAACAAGAGACAGGAAATAATAATGCTGTAATAATAATAATAATATTCATAATAATAATATTAATCATTCTATCGTAATTGTTTAACAGAATGGCTTGAATCCTTTTCAAACGCATAACATGCTTCAGAAAATGAGGGAACAAATAATTATTTCCTGCAGCTTTTAAAATCTATTCTGTCTGAAATTCTGTGATTGACCCCACAGGAAACGAAGGTTCGGGAGAAACTATTCAGAAGAAAACCTCCTCCTGTGATATCTGCCAGTTTGGGGCAGAGTGCGATGAGGATGCAGAAGATGTTTGGTAAAATGCTGCTATGTGTTGATTGAAGAACATATTTGGGTGCCCACATGGCTAGGTTGTTGAAGTCACTGCTTGCAATGAAATTCAATGTTGCGAACCCAAATAGGTCCTACCCCTACCCTCCCCGCCTTCCCCCACCTCCTGATCCAAGCCACAAGCTCGGGTGCAGATCCCTGACCGTCCAGCGCCTTGGGACATCCTCCTGATGTGAAAGGCGCTATACAAATGTAATTTGATGTTGTTGTTGAATTAGCTGATCTGCCTTAGGCACTATAATAATAATAATAATAATCCTTGGATTTGATATAGCGCTTTTCACGCCTTCTAGATGTCTCAAAGCGCTTCACAGAATATGCTGGAAAGTGAATTGAGTGTACATTTGTGGGCGAAACGCGGCAGCCAATTGCGCACAGCAGTGTCCCACAAACAGTCGTGGATTGAAAATGACCAATTTATTATTGTTTTTGTTTTGGAGGGATTATTATAATCTCTTATTATAATAGGCTTCAATGCCCAGGTAAGAGAAAGGTAGAGTAGTGACTCCACTTCTGAGTGCTAGTAATTAACTCGTGCTGGAAAGTGCTCACGTGTATAAATGAAGTGACTGCAGGACCAGGTTTTGGATGTGATATTCTCATGTTATAAAGCCTGCTAACTCACTATCTGGGCTCAGGCATGAAGAATCATTGTGAGTCAGTGGAGGGCAGCTGACATCTATGGAACTATTTGAGTCAGCAGCAACATCAGAGGAATGGAAAAAATTGGGAGGGCTTAACAAATATATGTTAGTAATCATAAACTACAAATGTAACTGTCCAGTATCATCACCAGCTGGATGGTGCTTTCAGCTCTGGAATCCAAGTTCAGGTTCAAGCCAAACAAATGAAATGGAAGTATTCTCTTTCTAACAACTGTTGTCCTAAATAAATGTGGGTAGCCTTACCTCAGCACAAATTTGCAGCACAAAGCAATCGATAATTCAGTGCTAATTGACACTATTATGTTAACAGTCACACTCAGAGTATCCAGCGTGGGAAATAGAAAATGTTCATCTACAATAAATAATAATAATAATCCTTCCATTGGATATAGCGCTTTTCACATCTTTGAGACATCTCAAAGCGCTTCACAGAATATACTGTAAAGTGAGTTGACTGTATATTTGTGGGCGAAACCCATCTGGTGCATCTGGTACAGAAGGAGTTGCTGTTCTGAACTTATGAGTTGACACATAATGGGAGCAGAACAGAAGAAGCCTTATTCTCCATCTGATCTAGATCTATTCAGCTGTCTTTGGTGAAGCGTGCTATATACAGCTCAATCCTTACTGTTTTGGGACACTGCTGAGCGCAATTGGCTGCCGTGTTTCGCCCACAAAATGTACAGTCAATTCACTTTGCAATATATTCTGTGAAGCGCTTTGAGATGTCTCGAAGATGTAATAAGGGGCTATATCAAATGCAAGAGTTATTATTATATAAATGCAAGTTGTTGTTGGTTGGATCTCTTCTGTATCTGACCAGTCCTATGTCTTCTCATGAATCTGGTTCTAAAATGGGAGAGAAGTTACATTTCAATGAGCATCACAAATGGAAATTCAACCCCCTTATCGTAGTTGTTATGAAGCGTTGATTAAACTGAGGGTTTACTACAATCTTTTGTTAAAAAGTGAGTGTGATCTGTCGTGCCAGTGCATGGGTCTTACGCAGAATAACTACATAAAGATTTAGCAAAAAAAACATGATGTGCAAACTCAAAAAATCCTCAACTGCAAATTGCTGTTCAATGAGACAGAAAACCTAGAGCCTATATTCATAAACTATAGTGTTCGTTCAATTGTTTCTCTGCTTACAAGTTTATAATAACATGTTAAATCAAATTATATTAAGTCAGAGGATTACACAAGATCTGTCTGATTTCAATACCAAACCTTTTCACTTAAAGAGGCCTATCCTGAGATAAAATTCAATTATCAACACCGAGTGTGGAGATCATGTAGAGTATTAGTGTCTGGTGCGTGAAGGAGTCCTTTAATTATAAACTCCTCCAACCAGGTACTGTGACTAGCCAACTGAAATGAAATGAATCCAGAAACGAACCTGAGTATGTCTTGTTTTGATCAAAAAGAGAGTAAGACATTTACCTGTAAGAGTACAATTAAAATAATAATAATAATTTGTTCACCCAATCCCTGACTGTTTGTGGGACACTGCTGTGCATAATTGACTGCCAGATTCCGTCCATAAAATATACAATCAATTCACTTTTACAGTATTATGTGAAGCGCTTTGAAACATCTTGGAGACATGATAAGGCACTATATCAAATGCAAGGTATTATTAAAATGCTAGCATTGTCTTGAGGTCAGCTACCCTGCAACCAAGAAAACCTCAACTCTGCTGCCTTTCTAGGCTTAATGTCTGTTGCGTAAATACTGAGGTTAGTTTGGACCAGAGCATTCCAAAAAATACTGTCAGACTCAAGCACTGGGCACAAAAGGCATTGATGCCCAGGCATTATTTAACAACAACAACAAAATTATATTTGTATAGTGCCTTTCACGTCGGATTAACTGCTGTAAATTATAACACTTACGTGCTCGACTCTCTGTGTCTGGCTGAGCTTTGATTGATTGCTTGCTTGTTTGCTTGATTGATTGATTGATTGATTGATTGATTGATTATCTCATCGTATTGTAATCGAACACTCTCAATATTATTATGAAGATGGGTTCAGAAGTTCTACGTTTAACACACCCCAAATCCTTCCTTTTGTTTTTTTTCAATAAATAAATTTAAAAAATTGATTTTGCTCCACCACTTTGTAGTTATTGCCTAAGACTATCCCAAAATATTCCACGCTTAGTAGAGATAAGTGTTAATATTAGAACTCTCCATTCAGTCATAGTCACAGTGTCTGTTTGGAATACTTTAACTCCTCGGAGAAGCTGTCCGGCATGAAGGGCACTATATAAATGCAAGTTGTTGTAATATTCAAGAGCACAGCTTAGAAAAGCATATCGTTGCACATTACCTTTTTTTAGATAGGCTGGTTCCACCCAGACTTGAAGCTAAATTAAACATCCAGATGTGTCATTATTTCAATCGTGTCCCTGTTATTGTTGTGATAATGTATATGAATAATAATAATTTTGTAATACAGTGGCAGATTCTGACCTGGAGATGTGCAGATTACTAACATATAATTTTGCATATTTTCAAATGGCTTTGTCCCCTACTTTCTAACAATATACTGACTGCCGTAGTATCTTCACTGCTCATTTAAGTGCAATGAAATTCTAATTTGCTTAATGCACAATTACATAAAAACCGTCATTTGTTGTTTCATGGCATTTTAAACAAAGGGAGATTAGAACATTTTAAAGCTCTTACACAAGGTCAGTAGACAGTTTACTTCCATTTACAAAATTAGTTTTCTTTTCTATTCTAGCATAATGTTACTAATCATAAATACACAGACGTGCTGTGAAAGTCATTTTTTTCCCCCAAATGATTCAGTGTCTCATAAATCCCATTAACTAATTTATCTATACTTGTTGACACTTAGATGTAGTATGTAATATTGCACAGTTTTAGATAAATGCCAACCATTTATTTTACACAATATTTGGCTGCAATATTACAGTATATCAACACCGATTGGGGCTAAATTACTAGCTCATATATGTTCTGCTTTGCTGAATTTGAAGAGGTGCTTTCCAAAACTAATTTTAAAAAGTAATAATAGCTCTTTTGAAAAATCAAAGCTTTATCAAGTTGGTATATTATGTTTTTGTAGAGGGAACAGTGGCCACATCCTGTAGTGTTATACCATATGTTACTGTCAGATTTGTTCACTTGTTATTACAGCTGAGCAATTCTGCATCGAGGAGATTGTCAATTTACGTACATTTCCTTCTGTCTGTTTAGGTGTGTTTGCAACATTGACTGTTCCCGCATCAGCTTCAACCAGGTTTGTGCTTCTGATGGCAAATCCTACAATAACCCCTGCCAGGTTAAGGATGCATCCTGCCAGACTCAGGAGTTCATAGAAGTAAAGCATTTGGGACGATGTCCAGGTAACGTCAATAGATTTGCCACTGTACTTGATACCGATATTATGTATAAGAATTATTTTCTACAGGAAGCAATGAATAATCAACATGTAAAATTGTTCTTAAATGGTTGGCAACATTTGTCAGTTGTGCCTGCAACACTCTGATATTCTGATATTCTTGTCTGGTACATGTAAGGTTTTCTCACTCCTTGGCTTGAACCACAAGGCCCTGTAGATCCAAATTCATATGTCAGAATAATGGGCCATCTGAAAGGAAGCAGAGGATAATGATGCTAAATTGTACTCTGCATGCCAGACATAGTCCGCTCACCATCTCCTGACATGAAGTAACAGAACAGTCAGGTGTTCATTTAAAGGCAATGATCCTGGAGGTCAAGAACGTAGCATTCACAAACCGCATTCGATGCATTAATTGCAGTTTGTAAATATCAGATTGCGCTAGATTAGGAAATGACAAATCCCACTTTAGCAAAATCCAAAAGAAAAAATGACCCGTCAAATTCTTACCCAACATCTCTACCTGGTGAGAGATCAAGAGCAGGAACCCTGGTTATTTTCCCTTCCCTTCCCTTCCCGAACATTGTAAATGAAACAGAGAGTGAGTGCATGCAGGTCAGTGACTGCTAATGTCTCATTCAGTTCCATGAATCACAATGACAATGAGCTGTTTTTATGAGAACGCGTGACAGGAAGAGGGTTTTACTTACAGCAGTTCTTGTACCAGGCCTGCCTTGTATTGTATTATCGTTTGAGAACAAAAGAGTTGTACTCAAGAATAGTGCACTAGAATTTAGTTAATCTCCTATGTATTCTATCATTGTACCACACTTCTTCAGATAGTTGTTATTCTGGGTATGCTGTATATACTGCTCTCAATTACAGCAGTGTTTGTCAGACGAGTGCTGTAGTGATACAAGAAAAAACAGGATAGCTGTCTTGAAGGTTTTAATGCAACTGCAGTGTTTCTTCTGAAATTCAGAAAGGAAAGGTTTTTTTTAAGCATTGAGCTTAATTCTTATGGATAGACGAGTAGCTGGAACACTAGATTTCCTGGCTAGCAAACCCAAATTCAGCTCCCAATCTCAAGTGAAATTAATACTCTGCCTTTGCTACAAGCCAGCTTTTCTATTCGTGTAGTATTCAACCATGCCCTCTGGTAGTTAATGCAAAACCCATCAATGAAATCATCCAAAGCGATATCACAGATGGAAAGTCTCTCCTCCTCCCTCCCTAGCATATAAAATAGATCAGGATTTGAGCCACATAGTCAGAGGGAGAAAAAGGGAACAAAAATACAGTAAATCACTCAAATAGCTCACCATTACAGTAATAATAATGGTTGTATTTGATATAGTTCGTGACTTATCACGCCATTGAGACATCTCAGGTATGTTTCAAAATCTTGAAATGTTTAAAAATATCACATTTAAACATTTAAAATGTCAAAGATGCTTAGCAACAGTAAATGCTGCTTGATATTTAATAAGAATTTAAAGTTAATGTGACAAGTAGTATTGTACAACAATGTTTTGTTTCTTCTGAAAATTGAAAGGATCTATCTAATATTTGCGATCTGCTCATTACTGAAGAATCATATATGTCTTCTCTATAAACACATTTTTTTTACACAATTCCTATACATGGCCTTATTTGAGAAGGTCCATTAATTCTTCTTGACTCAGATTGTGGAGTCCTCCAGTGTACAGAGTGTTAAGCAAAAGGTATCAGTCGTGAGTAACTAATTCTCAGATATCTGTCTCTTAATTCTAAACTAGAAACTCTGAAAAATCAACAAGTTTCCAAAACAGTCAAGATAATAAGAGAGGTTCTGGTGAAGAAAATTCCTTGGCCCATTTAATCTCTTCCTTCACAATGTCAATCCTATCACCTTCCCATTGCAGTCTCTAGCTCTTTTTAAAAATGGGTCCAATCTGAATTCAACCACCTTTCTTGGTAACCTGTTCCAACTGTTAATTACCCGTCTGTGTACAAAAATGGTACCTGATATCACTTTAAACATCCCTTTGCTAAACCATGATTCAGTCCCTCTTGTCCTGTTGCCTTGACAGATCTAAAAATACTGCTTTGGGTGTCCCTTCTGAGACACCACTTTCAAAAGCTGAAGAGTCATAGTTTATTTAGTCTCTCCTTATATCTTATCCCTCTACCACAGCGGATCAACCCCATTGCTCTCCTCTGCACTGCCTTTAGAACGTGGCTGGCCTCATGTCGCAGCAACCAGAACTGTACTCAGTATCCAGGTACTGCCTGACTTGAGCACGGTTTCAGCATGATTACTGGCGGTTCAATCTCAGCATCCTGTTTGCTTTTCTTTATTGCCATCTCACACTTGGCCTGAAATTCTGGCTTGCATTGCATGTAGTGTCGTTGGCGATGCCCAATTACAATGGGGAAATCTCGTCCACGGCTAAAATTGGCAAAGGCGCTACACACAACTCCAACCAGAATTTCAATTCAACTGTTAGGAAACAAAGAGCAGTAAACCAATTAACACACCTAAATCTCTTTCATCTCCCCTTTCAATACCATCCATTATGACTTCCTGGGGGTCAAGCTTTCCTGTCTCTGTAGTTTGTAGAAATCAAAGATAGCTGAAGAGGGGTTTGTGTATCATTCTGTGTTTGTTGGAGGATAAATTGCTGACAACATCCACGAGGAATCCATAAACTTGCCTTCTCTGAGAGTAATAATCATAATAACAATATCTTGTATTTATATGGCAACTTCCATGTAAAATAAATGTTCTGAAACATTTTAAGTATATAAACTCATTAGAACTGGAATGAAGGATTTTCTGTAGACAAATCCTAACAGCTAATCTGTTTCAACACTGGCCTAAAAACAACAATGAGATAAGTAGTCAATTCCTTTGAATTTAGAGATACATTTCGATGGTGGGGGAATATAAACCAGGAGAAAGACCCTACATTTCTTTAACAATGAGCAATAGTGTCTATAAATTTGAAATGTCTCAAAGGGCTTCAGAGAGTTTTCTGTCAAGTGTAGTGACTACTCATAGGCGAGCAGGGCAGCCAATTTATGCACGGAAATGTCCCCAAAACAGCCATGAAATGAATGATCAATTTTTAACTGGAGGATTGTTGGCCAGGAAACTCCCTCCATCACATTGAAATTGCAAATTTGTTGGTCTGAATCACAAGACCAAATTAATAACACAATGAAGGAATTTGGACTACAGGGATTAGAACCGAATTGGGGGAAGTAGGAAGAAGTAGTAACAAGGAAAAGCAAAGTACCACATTTATAATACTTAACAAGCCTCCAAAGCGTGTACTGTGTCTTTTCACAAACAAAAACAGAAGTCACTGGTAACACTATTATATATTACAGTATTACAGTATTTTGCATTTTGTTTACTGTGTCTTTTCTTTGTAGTTAATGGTTCATCTTTTATCAAAGTAAAAATGTTCTGGAAATGAACTTCCTAATTCCATAAACTCTAATCATTCCTAATTTGCATGTGCCCCAGAGGTCACTACGCATCGGGATAATTCATTTAAAATTACTACGTTCGTGTACATTTTTAATCATACATCGAATTAAATTAAGTAGTTGTCTTATACCCTGCTGGGGGAAGATAGTGAAAGATAGATTGTTCACGACTGTTGCTCTCACACCGCTTTCTCATCACAAGTTACCCCGCTCAAAGTAAGCTTGTCTTTATTTGGAATCAGATCTCCCATTGCCTTCACCCAGACGAGACCCTTTGGAGTGAATGGTATCGTCGCACAATGCGTGAATGTCTAACGTTAATGTGCGGGCCTTCAATGGGAATGTGTTTGGCCATCGCCACGTCAGCGGAACTGGGATAAAAACTGGGTGGAAAGCAGCCTGATAATTCAGCTTATCTCCCAGCCTTCACTACTGTTATATATGGGTCCTGGCGATCGCAATGATACACTATCATTGATTCTGAGCAAGTGATGAAGTCAGATGTTCGCACATATGGCGAATGCCGTTTACCATACGTGCCCTCCAGAGATTGAAAACACAGCAGCCACATCTTCTAGCCTCTCGAACTGCAACATAAAGCAGATTTGGAGACAGCTAATGGAAGTGTCACAGGATGCGCCATTGACCGTAACTCAGCAATTACTGTTGCTGAGTTAAATTTCTAATTTCTTTTATACAGAGAATGTGACCGTAAGTACAAAAAGTGAAGATGTGCTATTTGCAAGGACCGATTACACAGGTACGTGTTTCATTATCCAACTCTCTATGGGCTGCAGGCCGGTTTGAGCTACAAATTAAGCCTAATTCAAATGAGATTTGAGTATTTTCATTTTTGATAAAAGAACATTAGGGACTTAGCAATGCTCAGGTGTTATTAAATGCCGTACATATCTGCAATACCGCGAGACGATTTTTAACACAAAAATCTTGCAGTAAGTTCTATTTTGAGGGTGTTATGTGATTGAAAATCTCAGCACTCGATAGTTCTTAGAACAGCTTATTTGCAAAGATGGATGTTTTGCAGGGTGGTTTAGAAGCACGCTTAAGAACTTTTATTTTTTTAAATAAAATTTTCATTATTTGGGATCCAGTACAAGGTGAATTGTTGGATCACTGTCAGTTGGTTTGGTTAGAGAATGTCAATGCTCGACTGCTTTTGTGCTCTTCAATTTCACAGCGATTATGCCCTGTTCTGCTGCTATTTCCCTTCTCTCGCTCTAACAGTGCCTCTGAAGTTTATTTACCATTTGTGTTGATCAATATGATCTTGAAGTTGTTGCTAAGGCGGAGTTCATTTATACTGAATTACACCTAAATGTCATGCTCCCACCCCTGACTGGCACTTACACAGAGCTGCGAGCTCCAATAATCCCTTATTAACTTTTATTGACTCTCAATCTCATGTTTCTACATGTCATTGCAGAAGAGACTGCAAATAAACTAGAAGAAACTGCTCGATTTACCCCTTGTCCTAAACCTCTTGCTACTTATTGTCTTCATGGAAAATGTGAATACGGGATTCATAAGCAGGAGCCAATATGCAGGTAACACTTAAAGCTGTGCAGTCGCCCTTCAAAGTGTCGCAAGCTCTTTTTTCGTCGTCTTATTACATAAATTTCATTTCTATTCATTTATTCCCACTCTGCAGATGCGAAGCAGATTTTAAGGGACCACGCTGTGAACAAAGGGAGTTTAATGTTTTGTACGTAGTTCCTGGAGCTGGAAAATTTCAGTATGTCTTAATAGCATCCATCATTGGAGGTGTGCAGGTGGCCATCATTTTAGTCGTAGTTCTTTGCATAACAAGGTAACCTTACACAGATACATTTGCCAGACAGTGAATTTAACAGTCGAATATTTCTTTGATATCCACTGTATTGTTTTATTAACTAATGTATCTTGCTGGGCGGAGTGGAAGTGAGCTGTGCTCTGCTGAGCTGGCAGTGCTTGATGCTGGCAAGTGGGGTGTATCAAAGCCAAAGAGCAATGATATTTAGAAATAAGAGATTGGTCAGATAGATTGTAAAGGCACTTCTCCAGCTTTGTACATTTCTATGTAAAGTGGAAACACAGTACATTCCTTATCACTGATGTCCCTCACTTTGTGCTCAAATATTCTCCCCCAAATTACTATATACAGTAAGATCCATTTTGTAAGATTCACAAAAGCATTTGCAACTAGCGCTCTAGTAGGTACACAATTATATCTAAGGCTGATATTCCACTTAGGCCCAATCGATACCGATCTCCCACCATGATCTTTCTCTAATTCTAGCCATAATCCGCTGTCACAAAGGTTAGGGTGGAGGTCAGTTTCCAAGTGGAGTTCCGAAGGGTCAACCTTAGACACATCTAGGCACCGGCAGCATTTGCGATGCACAAATCCTTTAGCAAATGATACTCTCAGTGTCATTCCACAAGTTAAGGAATGTGGCCTCTAGCAACGATTCTCGTTACTTGAGACCATATTTATACTGTACATTGCCAATAGGTTTCTGGGAGCGTGAAATTTCGCCCACAAAGTACACAGTCAATCTACTTTACAATCTATTGTGTGAAGCGCTTTGAGACATCTCAGACAACCTGGCGAAGGTGGATTCACTGACACCTCATTTCACACCTTTGCAATCATCTGATAACCACTGGCATTCAATATAACTGATGCTTAATTGATGCACAGCTGCACTCATCTCTGGTACAACCAAGAAGGTTTCCCTGATTGCAGGCACTTTTCCGATGGAAGCAATATCACTTCTCTTTCAACAGTATAAACAGGCCAAAAAAGGCGCTAAAATATAAATTTCCTCAGCAGGAAGGGAAAGTACAGCTTTAAAGATGAATTATGGAAAGGTTTAAAGCCTACAAGAACAATAAATGGTTTAGTATAGCGCTTTTCACATCGGGGGGACACCTCGAAGTTCTTCCCAAGATATCCTGCAAGGTGTAGTGACTGTGTATTTTGAGATGTAGAAATGAAAATTAATGAAAATGTAAAGTATATAGCAACACACAGGGTGAACTCGACTGAGGAAAGGAAATAAAGCAAAGAGAAAGGAAAACATTTATTGATTTTATTGAACCAGTAATTCTGAAACAATTTCATATGATTATAAATGCAATGCGGATGTGTTTATCGGAATACCACTTAGGCAAATTGACCTATTAAGTGACATGATTGACCTCTCAGCATTCCTTGCAATTATATAATTACACAGCACGTCACTCTGATCCGAATTCATCTCATTTTAATGCAGTATGATTAAATTAATGTGCAACTTGTTTTCTGGATTCTTCACGTAAACAAACAGGATGCCTCTGCGTCTCTTCCAATAAACATCGTCCCAATTGGACCGTGGAGTCCTGTGGCTCAGTGGTTAGAGCACTCGCTTTGCAAGCGAGAGACCTGAGTTCAATTCCAGGCAGGGCGAAACCTTGGGCAAGTTTCCTTACTCCACACGCCTAATAATAATCCCTCCAAAAACCAAAAACAATAATAAAATTGGTCATTTTCAATCTACGACTGTTTGTGGGTCATTGCTGTGCGCAATTGGCTGCCGCGTTTGCCCACAAATATACAGTCAATTCACTTTACAGTGTGTTCTGTGAAGCGCTTTGGGACGTCCTCCTGACGTGAAAAGCGCTATATCAAATGCAAGGATTATTATTATTATTATTATTAATTGTCTCAAAGTTTAGAAAATTGTGAAATCGGCATTGTTGCTATTTGATAGCACTCTGTGGAGATTCTGATCTTGGAACAGTAACATTTACTTAAAAAAGACCAACACAATATCACGCAGAGCTTGGGGTTCTTTACAATATATACGACACACAATTGTACAGATTTTAGCCATTGCAGTTTTCTGTTTGGAAATATGTGACGAAAAAAATGTATGAACTCCTTTGGAGTAAAGCGATAATTCCGTGCTGCTCGATGAATAAATAATACTTTGTTTTCCGTCTGCAGAAAATGTCCTAGGGGCAACAGAATTCAAAGACAGAAACAAAACTCAATACATTACAGTTCCGACAACACAACAAGAGCATCCACAAGATTAATTTAAAAGGTGCATGACTGTACAGCTGCAAAAATAATTACACAAAGCTCGGACTACTGATTAATCATACAAAATGGAATTACACATGTTGCCTTGCATTTGTGGTATACTACACCAATGAATACACATACTACAGCTATATTTGACTATGTCTGGATTATATTTCAAACAGTATATGCTGTCTCAATGTGATTTTTTCCGTAATAAAAAAACTTAAATGGTTAACTAAATCACAATATTGATTTCCTTTGCACAACTATGGAAAAACAAAAGCCGGACTAATGAAAAATAAATATTTCTGTGATGTTTAGGAATTTTTTAAAGATGAGACGTACTTTGCATTATTTTTTTAAAAGGCAAGCAATTTGTAATCTTCAGTCAGGCACGACATTGCGTTAAAAGTATAGAGAGTGAGGAGTTTGTGTTTGTGGCTGAAAATTCATTCCTGCAGAGCTATGAGTTTGTGACTAGCGAGGTTCTAACAATGAGTGATTCTTTTAGTTACTTGTTACCACTGTGGCTGCTGTAATAGTCCAGTAGTAAGACCAGAAGGCTTGGAAATGTTCAGGTACTGTAAATAGAATGCTATTTATCCTCTATTATACTATACATGTCAGTGGAACAAAAATCACAGTTAACAAGGCTCTCTCAATTTAGATTGCCAAGCGATAGGGAGAAAGTACAGTAATAAGAGTCATCAGCAGGCTTTCCGATTTTATATTATGTGTTTTGTGCACTTGAATAATTCAAAGATCACCTTTTATATGAACAGTAAAACAGGCATTATGAGCCACTGGAATCAGTGAGTTAGAGGTCACCCAGGAAACTTAGCTGCCAATGAGACTAGAAACGTCCAATTGGCCAGGATGGGGATCCGTGGGGAATCACACACCTAGTTACTGGGATTGAAAGAGAACAAGTGGGACATTTTGTTCCCTATGATGTTGATTCCCATTTGGAATATCCATTTCCAATACTAGCATTACAGAACAAATTGACAGAAATAACTGCAGCAATAGACCATTTGCAATTGTTTTTTATACATCAACTATTGCACTTGTATTCCCTGAAGTGCATCTTCCCTGCATAGCTTCGTCCTCGGGCTGAGCTGTCGTCTAGGCTACAGAACTGGAGATATAGGTCACATCCTTGGGACTCTATTGCAATCCAACTAGACTAGATCTAGGTCACAGCCCGGCCCCAGTGATGTGATAGAAGTGCAACTGAGTGAGAGTGAGCACGGGGCATCCCTCCAATATTGAGAATCCACGTCACCCTCACTGTGAGAGTTGAATATCACTCTTACAGTGCCAATTGCTGTGACCAGAGCTTAAGCACTTACTCTGAATCCTCTGCTAGGCTTCCAAATTCTTGTTAGGTATGAAAAGGCTCCCAACTCTGGAACACTGGGTAACATATCAGACTGCTGCCTGTAACAACAAAGCCCCCAAGTATTTATTACAGACATCACCACCAAGGAAACCAAGACTAACATGTTGGAACGTAGAGATTTATCATCTTTACCATGATCCTTCCACCTAACTGCGAGTCTAATATGTGTCTTAGAGGTGCACAACACCGGAATCCATTGCACAGTTCTGTATTTCATACGGTACAACAGCAGAGTTATTGATGGTCCAAGATACTTGGAGAAATCTTAAGCCAGAGTTCTCATTGGTGTGTGTGCATTTCCAGACCATTTCTGACACTGGGCATAATTCCAAGATCGAATTCAAACATGTATGATTCTTGTACAACATGTAATTTAATCTCCTGAATTTCAAAGAGCATTACAATGTTGTATGTAAACCTAGAAGAGAAAAGCAGCATGTGGCATTATACAATTTTGATATAAACTGCTGTATAATGTCCACACTTAGGTGTACAATCTTGTAATGTTTACTGCTGGTGCAACTTTATCACAGTATAAATGGTGATACAGACCAGCAAATCATTCATAGACACACATGGTTTATTCTTCAAAGCTGGCGGTCCTGACCAGTCACTAATATGTTTCTAAGCTGCACCTTTCCGTTTGTCTGTGTATTGCTGTATATGTAATGGTGTCAAATAACAAGTGTGAATAAAGAATTGCCTTGAAATCTTAGCTTGTGGAGGTAATTCTGAATGAAGCTCTGCAGTTTTATTTACCTGATTCTCAATCTCTTCAAGCATGTTTCAGACGCGGAATAAACTCGACATTTGTTGCAAAACAGTCCTGCAGTCATGATGTTTACAGCAAAACTTACTTGACCTGATGATACAACAGCAACCACTTGCATTTGTATAGCGTTCTTCGCACAGGATAGTGCCGTGAAGTGGAATTATACCAGCGGAGGGCATTAGTATGCTTGTGTCTGTGTGGATTGAACTGTACAACAATAATGTCCTTTATGTAGGTTTATAACATTTTTTGAAGTCGCTATTCCCTAAAAGCAACCAAAGGCCGCAGGCTGAACATCACTTTGTTTCACAGCTCCTGTGGACCCTCCTGTAAAAGGGTTACCTGGGATTCTAAATGTTTCTCCGAAAAGCACTGAAGTTTTCGAAACTTTGATCCAATAGCCAGGTTCCTTTGTAGGTATCCCCAGGGCAGCCTCTGGGCCCTTTAATTCATTATCATTCTTTCAATAAATAATGTGAAAGATAAGGGTAGTGTTTGACATGGAAAAGGATATTTATAAAGAATGTGATTGAAGTCATGTACAGGGTGAAGATCTACAAGCCCAGGGGCAACACTGAGCAATCGATATATGTAGTTTGAGGCAAAAATCCACAGAGAGAGTGAGAGACATGCACATACATACATTGTAAAAGGAAGCTAACAGAAAGGAGCACACAGTGAGAGGCACATAACGAAAAGTAGGATGAAATTAGATGATGATAATAATAATAATCATTGCATTTGATATAACACCTTATTACGTCTTCAAGATATCTCAAAGCACTTCACAGAATATAATGTAAAGTGAATTGACTATATTTTATGGAAAATGCAATGACAGTTAAACAGTGAAAAATAGACATGCAAAGACTTGCATTTAAAAAGAGCCCTTCACGTGGGTTAGTGTCTCAGAGCACACAATACTAATACACATTTATACACACGTTGGTAGTGTCCTAACCAACAATCCCCCAGATACAATTGGGCATTCACTTCATGGCTGTTTGTGGGACATTGTGATGTGTAAATTAGCTGCTCTGTTGGCCTACAAAATACAGTCAATATTCTTTATAGTTAAGCCAGTTAAGTACTTTGAGACATCCTATGTCAAATGCTAGGATTATTATTTTATTTTGTGGGACTTAGATATATACGGTAATAGTACATCTACTGCCCAGAAGGACAAGAGCAGTGTCATAATTGGAACACCATCATTTCCCTGTTCCCCTTCAAGTCACACCATCCTGACCTTGACATACATCACAGCTTCTTTATCATTGTCGCGTCAAAATCCTAGAACTCACTGCATAACATTGTGGCAGGATCATCACTGCAGTGCAGTACACTGACTGCGGTGGTTCCCGTGAAGGGCTGTCAAAGCTCCTGCTCTTTGCAGTTTGGTACCAACATAAGGAATCTCATTTCGATGTCTCACGCAAAAGACAGAATCTCCTATTATACTCAGTGGTATATTAGGAGTTCAAGTCATGGTCTGTCCCACAAACTGTGACTCAGTGGCAAGAGTGCTAACAACTGAGCCAACTTTGCTCTGCATGCACGTGTGCGTTTGAGGATAGCGAAAGGAAGAGACGGAAGAACAATGACTTAAAAGTAATGTAGAACACAGAGATTCCTTATTCCTTTTGATCTCATTCTTCCAAAACACCAAACCAACCCGATTTCCCTTAATAGCATCAAGCTGTTTTCTAAACAAGTGCAGTGATATGGCAACATAAATACCCTTCCTGGTGACCTGTTCCAGCTGTTGATTACAATGTGTGTGAGAAACACTTTCAGGTGTTAAGACTTATATTTGCCTTCCCCCCCCTCCTCCGCCCCCCGCCCTGAGCCATGTTGTATCTGAAAGTATTGCTCCACGTTTACTTTCTCTCGATAAACTGGGGGAATTAAAACACAAGGGTTTATACCCAGGAAGGGATTAGTCAACCACTGGCGTCTGCTGCTATTTAAAGAGAATGGCGCTTAGTGTCATTTATCTGCCGTCTGACAGCTATGATATGTTCAGTATTTCAGACACACAGAGATTCAGCTGTGTAAAGACTGTGCAATGTCAAGGAGTTTATTTGTGTGTGTGGGGGGGTGGGTGGAGGGAGCAGAGAAGAGCGCAACACATTGCTGTGCAACGTTATAGGCTATTAGCCCAGTGACAAAGGGATTCACACCCACTGATGTCTTCATTGGGTCGTGCAGTGAGTTATGAGGTTGAAATAAACAAGTTCATGTCAGATTTTTTTGGATGTCAGTTTGTTGACACTCAAATATTCCAAGAGGGGAGTGGCAGCTTATCGCAGCCTGGTATTTTGAGGGGTGGGGGGGGTTCTGTCAGCCTAGTTAGTGAGATTAATGAGGTCATGTCATCGAGCAACGACACCACTGGGAGGAGCTTCCCAAGGATCTGCAGCACAAAGTGAATCAACCTGCCCCGCAACTAGCAAATTATTGTAATCTTTCCAACCTCCATTACCTTCAGAAGCTGTGCCTCGCACCTTACATCTCCTTCATCCTGCGTACTGGAGAGATGATTTCGAAGGGTAATAAACCTTTCAAAAAAATAAATTCACCGTAAAATAATAATCCACGACTGTTTGTGGGACACTGCCGTGCGCAATTGGCTGCCGTGTTTCGCCCACAAAATGAACAGTCAATCCACTTTACAGTACATTCTGTGAAGCGCTTTGAGACGTCTCGAAGACGTGATAAGGTCCTATATCAAATGCAAAGATTACTCTTATTATTATGTTCCTATAATAGTACATCATTGGCTAAAGAAAAGTAAATAAAGTTATTTACTATCTTTTTACCTCTCAAGCAAGTTGTCATGCTGTCAAGACATCTCAACATACTTCTCAAGATACACTGTAAAAGTGGAGTGACTGTGTATTTGTAGATGAACACAGCAGCCAACATGCACACAGCACTGTCTAACAAACAGCCCTGAAGTGAGTGACCAAATTTGTTTGGGGGAATTGTTGGCGTGGAAACTGGGAGAATCTCCCTTCTCTTTTTGAATAACATCCATGCGAAAAACGCAGGAGGCACCTCGGTTTAAAGTCTCACGGGCATGACAGCACCTCTGACAATGCAGCACATACCTGGCACTGCACTGGAGCGTCAGCATAGGCTGCATGTGTTCCAAGTACCAACTTAGGGCTTCAACCCACATCCTTCTGACTGAAAGGCGAGAGTGCTACCAACTGAATTTCAGTCCCAATGTCCAGCCTACAGTGAGCACACTGTCTGCCTGCGGACCCAGTCGACAGCTAACTGCTGCACGTGCTGGCCTTGATCAATACAAGCGTGACAGTTTGCAATATACAAGTCTGAAGCAATGTGGGAACTCTTCCAACTAGGCAAGTGAAGAGGCCTGTGCTCAGAAATTTGCTTGTGTTGACAACTTACTGGAACACTAACAAACGTCAGGGCAGGAGGGCTGGGTGGGGAGGGGGCATTGTGGGAGGGTGGAGTTTACCCAAAAGTGAGTGTCAATAAAAGCTAATCATGGAGTGCAGGAAATCAAGTGCTGGAAGTGTCTGGACGCACATTGGTAGCTATTCTGGATTAGGTTACATCACGGGTGAAGTATGCCTCCCTTCCCCCTTCACTCCGAACTGGAACTAGAGAGGTGTCTCCTGACATCTAGTGGAAACCAAACATAGGAGAAACCAACTCAAGGAAACTTATCTCAACCAGTGCAGGAACTTTTCTATTTTCTTTGGCTCCCCTTTCCACTTGTTTACACAGTAAACTCCTGATAACTCGATCCTGATTTCACTGGTCACTACCACATAAGTCAGTATAGCGGCTGCATTTATTTATGCATCTATCCAAAAGCCTAACTCACCACACCTGATAACTCATCAGTAAGCTCCCTTTTCCTTGCAGAGACGAGTTATCAAGAGTTTAGTGTTTAAATAAAACAAGTTGTCTCAATGTGATCCCATCTTTACTTAATCAGACGTTTATTAGCGCCTTGGGATGTCCCCCCGACGTGAAAGGCGCTACACAAATATAATCTTGTTGTTGCTGTATTAAATGGTGAGGGAGTGAAAAAAATAGTGCAAAAAAAATTTTGTAAAAAATAAGTTGCATTTTGCTAATTCAGTATGTGCATCAAAAAAAACATTTGAATGTATATTTTGTTTCGGAAAAAAATGGTAAATTTGGGCATTGTGGTATTTATCCATTGAAAATTCACTGGGACCATATGTTGTGTTAAACAAGTTATATTTGGCATCGCCCTGTTTGCTTAAAGAATAATAATAATCCTTGCATTTGACATAGCCCCTTTCCACTTTGTTGAGCCATGTCAGGGCGCTTCACGGGATATACCGTAAAGCGTAGTGACTGCGTATTTCTGTGGGCGAAATGCAGCAGCAGCCAGCCAGCCAGTTGCGCCCAGCAATGTCCCGCAAACCAACATGGAAAGCGAGTGACTAATTTCTGCCCAGATCGTTGGCCGCTGCGGCAGGAGACAGAAACCCTTCCCAACCCCACCACCCAAAAAAAATAGAATAAGCATTTTAGTTCATAAAACTTTTCGGGCAGCATTCGCAAGTAGGCGCTGAAGGCGTGTGACAGTTTGAGGACAACTGTGGGGGGTGGTGGGGGGTGAAGGAGGGCGTTGTTTTACTTGACAGCATTTGCCCCAGATACGTTTGCTCCACATAAAAAAAATAAATGCGTTTGCAGATGCGATGGGGGTGGAGAGAGAGAGAGAAAGAGAGAGAAAGAATAACACATGGGCGTCACACAGTGTCAAGTGGAGCCAATGAGCAGCTGTGGGAATGGGGCCAGAAACCAGATTCAGGGTTTTTTTTTGTTGCAATCCAGTATTTCTGGTGTTTGATTGGGGGGGGGAGGAGAGAGAGGAAAAAAGCAATGCAGGGAAGGAAACCCAGAGGACATTTACACTGCAACTGAGTGAGAGAGAGAAGGAGAGACAGAGAGAAAGAAAGAAATCTGCTGTTGACCTAAGTAGGTGGTGGTGTCTCTGTGTGTGTGTGTGTGTGTTTGTGTTGAAGGGGAAAAGTTTCCCTGGATTTTTTTTTGCCCCCTCCCCAACCCTTTACCCCTTAAACCCCCCAACCCCCACCCACCCCCCCCCCCCCCCCCACCCCCACATACACACACACAGAGACACACACACAGAGGGACGGGTTGATCTGGTGTTGGGGAAGAGCGCAGAGCTGAGAGGTCTCTGTGGGGAGGGAGGAGGAGGAGGAGGAGGGAGAGGAGGGGAGTGGGAAAGCGTAGAGGAGAGAGGAGGGGAGCGGTGGCGGTGGAGGGGGGAGAGTGGGGATGTGAGTGGGAACGATTGGGACTCGCAAACTGTGTTTGCAGAGGAGCAGCCGTGACCGGGGGCCGAGATCGGTGGAGATCGCCCCACAGGAGGGGGGGACATCACACACACACACACACACACACACAACACACAACACAACACAACACACAACACCAGAAAAAAAAAGAACTAAATAAGTGTGGAGTCCGCGCGGCCACATATCGCTTGAAGAGTGCGGGATTGACCTCGAGATGGGAGAAGACGGGGTACAGGCGGAGAAGAGCCTCTGCGAGGCCGGGAAGACCTCCCCGCGGGCAGGGGGGGAGCAGAGCCCGGACCCCCAGCCCGAGCCCGAGCCCGACCCCGACCCCGAGCCCAGCCCCAGCCCCGTGTCCAGCCAACCTCCCAGCCCGGGACCCAGCGGGAAGGTCCCCCCCGTCCCCACCCCCACCCCTCCGCCTCCGCCGCCCATCTCGGTGGAAGCCATCCGCCAGGGCAGCGGCCAAGTGAACGCCATCACGGTGCTGGCGCTGCTGGACAAACTGGTCCACATGCTGGACACCGTGCAGGACAACCAGAGGAAGATGGAGCGGCGGCAGATCCAGGTGGAGAGCTCGGTCCGGGGCATCCAGAGCGACATCAGCAAACTGTCCAAGAGCCACAGCTCCACCAGCGGCACCGTCACCAAACTCCTGGACAAGTCCCGCAAGGTCGGCTCCAACGTCAAGGAGATGCGGGAGCGGCTGGACAGGCAGAGCCTGCAGGTCAAGAGGCTGGAGGCCAACCAGACACAGTTGCTCAAGAAGAACAACTTTCGCGTCCTGATCTTTCAGGTAAAAAAAAAAAAACCCCCCTCAAAAAAACACATCTTTTTAAAAAAAAAAATTTTTTTTTTTTAAAAAATTTAACAAAAAATCCCTCGTTTAAAAACTTCCTTCCGATTCGTATCGATATCCGTATCTTTCTCTCTCTCTCTCTCTCTATGTATATATATATATGTTATACGGTCGCACCCTCCCGCCCGCGAAATGTACAGTTAATTCCTGCGAAGCGCTTCGAGACGTCTCGGAGACGTGATAAGGGCGAACTGTATTGAATGCAATTATTATTATTATTATGTATTATTAACGGGTTACTGGGGCGCTTGGCTTCTCCCCCTCCCTCCCTCTCCCTCCTCCCTCCCTCTCCCTCTCCCCCTCCCTCCCTCTCCCTCTCCCCCTCCCTCCCTCTCTCTCCCTCCCCCCCTCCCTCCCTCTCCCTCTCTCTGTCTCTCCATTACACACTAAGGCTAAATATGGTGCAATGCTTTACTTACACACGAATCTGTGCCTCCAACAGTCTCAACACAAGTGTATTGATTCAGACCTGTGTTGGCGCGGGGAGTGAGTGTGAGTGTGTGTGTGAGTGAGTGAGAGTGAGTGTGCGTGAGTGAGTGTGTGTGAGTGTGCGTGAGTGAGAGTGAGTGTGTGTGTGAGTGAGTGTGAGTGTGTGAGTGAGTGAGTGAGAGTGTGTGAGTGAGTGTGAGTGAGTGTGTGTGTGAGTGAGTGTGAGAGTGTGAGTGAGTGTGTGTGAGTGAGTGAGTGTGTGAGTGTGCGTGAGTGAATGTGCGTGAGTGAGTGTGTGAGAGTGTGTGAGTGAGTGAGAGTGTGTGTGAGTGAGAGTGTGAGTGAGTGAGAGTGTGTGTGAGTGAGTGTGTAAGTGAGAGTGTGTGAGTGAGTGAGTGTGTGAGTGAGTGTGTGTGAGTGTGCGTGAGTGAGTGTGCGTGAGTGTGCGTGAGTGAGTGTGTGAGTGAGAGTGTGTGAGTGTGCGTGAGTGTGTGAGTGAGTGAGAGTGAGTGAGTGAGTGAGAGTGTGTGTGAGTGAGTGAGTGAGTGTGAGTTGTGTCACCGGTTCACCAGCAAAATAGCTCGTCGATGCTGGTAACCACACAGTTGGCTTTAAACAAGTGGTGTGTGTGTGTGTGTGTGTTTTCTCCCCTTATTTAATACAGTGTGTGTACAACTAAAAGTCTTTTCATGTGGCTGGAAAGTTAGGAGCTGCCCAAATGTTCTTTCTTTTACAAAGTTTCGTCTGTCTTTTTCAACCCGGATTTGGCTGTATGTGTGTGTTGTGTGTGTGTAAAAATATATAAAATAATAAAAAAAAACTAAACCAGATCTGGCCAGCAACGAGCAAATACAAACTCATGCCTGAAGGTGTGACCCAGGGCAATTTGGTGTGAAATTTTCTAAAAAAAAGCAAATTACGCACTGTAACCCACACCCAAACTGTGTGAGATTATATTGTCAAAATGTCCTGTGCAGTAAGGCCGGCTGCTATTCCTGTTATGGAGATCAGGTGTGGGGTGTGTCCCGACAAGTTGCTGGGAAAATATGTCCATTTTAAGACAAGGAGGTGCGCTCCGCAAACCCCCCCAAAAAAAAACACCACTTGTCAGTCGGCTCGGTTTTCAAGCTGTGTTTTCTTAAAAGGTGGGGAACTGCGATGGGTTCAATCGCCACAACTGACTGTACTAAACAGTTCCGAAACAAGTCTCTCATATATTCCAGATCTGGGTCTTGTAGCAACAAAACACAAACACAACACAAACACACACACACTGTGCGTGAAAGCCACTTGCGGGATGAAAATCAAATGGCCGGGAGGGATTATCCGCCTGTAGTTGAACGCGCTGATCTTTAACACGACTTAAAAAGCTCGCCAAGTTCACCGATCTTTAGCGGAGAATTTGCGAGCAGCCAATTTCCATTAAACACTACAGTCATTGGCAAGCGATCCAAGATTTTGCACGTATAACATTCGCGGCATGAGTGAGTCACGACTCACATTCTTTCCAACTGAATCAAACTTTTTCTGCAGTTATTTTTTTTTTAAAAAAAGGTGGGGGGGGGGCGTGGTGGGGGAGAAAAAAAAACCCTGAGAATAAACAGTTTAGATTTCCAACGTTTCAACTGTGAGTGACTTGGAGGAAACAACACAGGAATGTTCACGTGTTTCATTGCCAGTGCCTGGAACATCAATCAACCACGCCTTGTGCTCGCTTGGCTTATCTTCACCCGGGCCTTTTAAGCTGATTTCTGCCCGAAGGTTAATAAAAGCAGAATGGTATCGAGGTTAATGTGAGCGTTACGTATCCCATACAGTGTTTCAATGAGATAACTGACCGGCGAATGCTTCACGACCGGTCAATTCTGACACGGAGCCCGAGCCCATTATCTCAAAAAAACAACACAACGCCCTCGATAATTAGTCGAAAAATAAGTTGGAAAAGATAATGATAAATGACAAACCCCATCAACAAGATGGTAAAACAATCGCGCTCGCACACTTGTCACAAGACCTGCTTGTGCGGTGGCTTTGTCTGCACACTTTGAAGGGAATCAGTCAGCTCGTGCTGGCATGATACCTGACCACTTGCCGTAGGTGTAACATTAACCCAAACACTCAGTGGGGTTTGTTTGACAATACCTTAGAACGATCGCTGTCTGAAATCCACATGCCTTTTTTGCCCTGAAATGGAGAAAATTCCCACGCTTAATGTTTTGATTAAATGTCGCACTTGAGTGAATAACATCTCCCTTTCCTGTATACGTGTCGATGTTTTCTTTTTCGACCCCCCCCCACCCCTTTTTTTATCTGTTTTGCCTCACAAAATATACACAGCCACTTCCACTTCACAGCCTATTCCGTGCAGCGTTTTGAGACGTCTCAACAAGGCGCTACATCAAATTATTATTATTATTAGTGGGGGGTGGGAGTGATTCAGATCCCTTTTTATCCCTTGGATGCAGATTTTTTTTAAAGTGATGATTTCTGGCAGGAACTGGGGATACAGTTGGGAAAATGTAGCACGGAAAACAAAACCAAAATCACTGTTTTTGGGTGAATATGAGTCACCGTGGTTTTTTTTGTGTGTGTGTTGAGGTTTTTTGTGTGTGAGAGGGGGGGTAGGGTGTTGAGCAGTTGTGGACTTTGAACATGATCAATCATTGCAGGACGAGTCAGACATCCCACCCGCTGCATTTGTGGAGAAGCCAGCAGAGGGGGCAGAGAATGAGCGTGTGGACGAGAACAAATCCCTAGCCGATGCCCCTCCGGCCTCGCTGGAGCTCTCGTCGGATGAAGAGGCTCAGGCGGGGGGAGAGGCTCACGAAGAGGAAAAGGTTGAGAAACTGGAGCAGTCCAGGGCCGCCAAGATCAAGAGGTCAAGTCTGAGAAAAGTCGACAGCATCAAGAAGGCCTTTTCCCGAGAGAACTTCGAGAAGAGGATGAATAGATTCGGCACCAAGATCGTGTCGCCCGAGAGAAGGGAGAAGATTAAGAAGTCGCTGACTCCCAGCAACCAGAAGACACAGTCTCTCAAGGCCTCCAGTTTCAAGGTGTCGCCCATGACTTTCAACGTGAAGAAGGTCAGGGAGGGAGAGGCAACTCCAAAGAGCCCCAGTGACCCACTGAAACCCGATCAGTTCGGTCCACTGGCTGCAGATGGCAGCTTGTTCCCCGAAGTGAGCTTGGAAATGTCCCCCAGCGCCTTAGCTGCTGAGGAGGGTAAAGAAGGCGTGGTTGGCACCATCAAAGAAGTGGACGAGCCAAAGCAGGAGAAGAACGAGGCAGATATCGTGGTGGAGAACGATATGTGGGGCAGCGCGGTCAAAGAAGGTAGCAGTACATTGGCGATGGATGATAAGTGGGGTGCTGGGGTCAAAGATGATAGTACCGAGGCGGTGGACAGCAATAAGTGGGGCAGTGGGGTCAAGGATGATACCCTGGCGATGGATGATGTGAATTGGGGCAGCGGGCTCGATGAAGGTAGTACATTGGCGATGGATGATGATAAGTGGGGCAGCACGGTGAAGGAAGGTGGCACAGAGGCGTTAGACAGCGATAAGTGGGTCAATGAAGCGGGGGCGGCTAAGCTTTCTTCCCCAATACGACGGGCAGGTGAGCCACAAGCCGAGGCTCAGTTAGATATCGAGCTGCACATTGTGGAGGATGAGGCAGCTGTGTTGCAGATACAGCAAACAGCCTAAAGCTCCCTTGGCGTGCAGCACCATATATGTGTGTTATTATTAGCTACTGTAAACTGCGGAGGGGAGGGGGGGGGGTGTGGTGAGGAGGGAGGAAGAGGGGATGACTACCAGGCAAGACTAGAGAGGGCTACAGCATGTTGTGGAGGGGGAGGGGGAAGATCAAGAGCAAAGATAGAAAGAAGTGGTAGAGGCCTTGTGACGCCAAACAACAATTTGCATTCATATAAAAGGTGATGGGAGACTTGCACAGATTTGACAGTCACTTGGCAAGGGTCAGAAATGGCCTGGACATCCTCAAGCACTGTTACTATTTCATTTTTTTTAATACTTCAGGTATGTATGGAACCGCTCAACCAGGCAGCAAAAACGACTAAGTTCTAATTCAATAATTCGTTTGAAACGTTATATGTTACGCACGCTACACCCGCAAGTCATTTTCTAGACTATATATTGAGATAGGCCAATTTTGTACAAATTTTAGAAAAAAAAATCTATATAAAAAGCCTTAAGCAATATTATCCAAATATATCCTGCATCTGCCTCTACAGATGTTAACTGTTTATTGTCCTGATGCCAAAGGCCTGATCTCATGGGCTGTGTGAGTAGATGGTGTCAAATTTTCCTCACCTTTGTTGTAGTATCAGGGAAGCTTTTTCTGCACTGTATGCCTCTAGACAGATTAAATATCTGCACTTATAATGTATTGCACGGGATTTTTTTTCCTATATATATATATATACGTTTATTTTCTTATGTTTGCCAATAAATGTAGTTAACGCCAAGTACCTGTTTTTTTTTCTAAGTGTATGTAAGGAAATAAAACAAAAGAGCGGAATTTGGTTTGGTGTCCCATTATTACTAACGTGGTGTAAATTGAATACTGTGAGATCAAGACTCCAGAATCGGGCCACACGTGTTGGACTGTATGTGCAGAATTCCTTCAGGGAATAGGTTTAAATGGGGACAAACGCTAAGAGCCTATAAAAGTGGAGATCAGGAAACATTTGAAAAAAAGCATGCTGCGTGCTGCCAGGTGATAAAATATTACAGTACTCTTAAAATAGTCTATTTGATCGAGTTTCTGTGCAACGAGGCAAACTGCAGGCAACACTTTAGTACCACAAGCCACACTCCAATTACCTATGTGACACTGAAATGTGAGCTTTGACTTGAACATCACGCCATAAATCTCGTCTTTTGACTCCCTACATCAAACACTGATAGTGATGACAATTATGTACATACTGTATGTTCTACAGTACAACGTGCACAGTGAATTCTGATATTTGCGCAACAGACACTAAGGAATGTGTTTTCCCATATGAGGCATTTCATTTATAGATCACTGTCAAGTTATTTCTAATGCTTTACCGCTGAGCAACTTGGGAGTGGGTTGGAACCAGTGGGTTGGCTAAATGGTTCAAAGTATCAAATCCACCCATAAATGCAGTGCCACAGCGACACCTGTTGACACAGCTGTGCACTTCACCGTGAATATTAAGGTCATGTAATTCACATGGGTCAGAGGAATTTAAAGTGTAGGGGGAGAAGAGGACTGACATTTTATGTAAGATGTAGATAAACTGGGCTTTCGTGCTAGACTGGCACCCGATGCACATCTTGATGTAAGGTGACCTGTATTTGATTCAGTGCAATCTTGCTGTTAAAGGACTGCCTTAGCATTCAGATCAATTCCAGATCACTGCTACTGCTCACAAATCATGTACCACATGCGTTGCCTCAGATCAGTGGGAGCATTGAGTTCACATCCACAATACAGTACTTCATGTTGGCAAGATCCCAATCTTTACACACAACACACACCAGAGGGAAGTGCAGAGTGAGTACTCATGGCTGAGACCAAAAGTTTCTAAATGCCAAATCCCCGCTTTCAGTGGTTTCCTTAATCCATCACTAACCTGCGCAGTGAGTTGCCCTCCAAGAGCTGATTGTATCCTATGATTGACAGCATCCATTTAAATGTTCACGGGTCACTAAAATCTGTTTATTGGTACAATGAAACCCAGATACTGTTCCGGGGGTCTATTATTCTTGCCAAAAAAGGAGTGGGGGGGGAACCTGTGTGAAAACGAGGATTGAGTTTGGAACACAACTATGCCTGGTCATAAAACCAATTGAGTGTTTGTGTAATTGACATTACATCCAATTGAGTTTCAGGATATACACACTCCAAGACACCCTACCCCTTCTTCCCCAGGAAATTTGGAGTTTAAAATTTACCAATTTAGTTGAAATAATCCCCCATCCCCAACATTCAAGTGAAAACGCTATTTAAAAAAAAGGGCCGTACAGATGTCCCAATGTAATGATTGTTGAAACTTGAGTTCCGAGTCTGTATTGTTGGGGTGAGAGAGGGTGAATTGAATAAAATGGACTGGTACTTCATCTTAGCGAAACTTTGGGAGACCATCTCTCAGCCCACCTTACACTACACGATGGTGATTCCAAATACTTGTCCCACTTGATCTTATTTTTGCACAGTATTTACCCTACATTTTTCCAGCATTGTTAATGAACCCAGTAGTTTGCCCTCTACCACTCTTTCTGCTATCCCATTCTACCTTGAGATCATACTCAGTCTAAGGAAATAATTTACTGCTTGGCACCTCTCCTAAAACTGCATGTGTACCTTGTACATATTTCCAGCAAACATTCCAAGCGCAGCTGATTGATCATGTGGGTCATTCAAATTGTAAAATAGAATTCAAATTGGTCTCACACGGAGCAAGTTTCATTGAGTAGTTAAATACACTCAGTACCAAGGACACCTTCAAATTAGATGCTCTCTTTCATCAGCTACTTAGCTGTGCCGCATTTTGCAGGCATAAATGATCAATTTAAATATATTCCAAGTTTTAAAATATTATCCCTTCAAAACGTGGTTATGGCGTTAGCACTTCCATATTACAATGCTTTTGTCCCCCATTTCCATACATCAGTCCCCTGGACTTTTCAGGACATTGCTTTTCAAACTACTTGAATCTGAAGTGCTCAAGAAGGTTGATATTAAGATGTGCAATCTTACTCAATATATACAGGTGCAAAAAGGTCTAAATTAAATACTCCTTACACAATTACCCCTGAAGAACCTTGAAACATTTCAATGTGATACAGCATTTATACATTTGCATTTTTTTAGTTGTTAGCAGCAAATGTACATCAAATGGCAAAACGTAAGTAAAGCTTTATGTAGATCCTATAGAAAGTTGAAATTGTCAGTAGAAATTCTAGACAGACATGTAGCAAGCCATAAAGGCTACATAATAGAAATAAAGGGTTGGGCAATCAGTTTTTAATATAGGATTGAAATGATTTACTCCTGTATGAAAGGGAGCAGCAATAAGATTATCTAAGCTGTTAACATTGTGAACTAATTGTTTGAAGACAGCGCAAATAGCCATAACTCAAGTTTTGGAGGTTTGAATCATGTGTTAGGTAGCAAAAATCAAATGGCATTTTATTTCACAATATTTGCAATGTGCCTGCTAACCTAGATATGTACTGCACTTTTAATCTCTGAATTTGCAGTGTAGCTGTACTTGTATTTGTATTGGGGATAATCCCAGCAAGAAACCAGCCAGGTACATAGACAAGTATGAAAATAAAGCAATTTTTAAAGAAATTCCACATACTCACAGCCAACATTTTGAATTGGCACACTATTACCTGTGCTATTTGCAAAACTGAGACTGCACACAATATCAAGTGTAAACTGACAAGGACTGTGGCAGGAAATCGTACAATAGACCTCACAATTTTTCTCATAGAAAAGCTACCCTAGTAGGAATGTCTGTACACGTTTCAGTTGACTACGAAAGCTTGCATCAGCTAAGAAGATTGTAGATGTGTAGGATATAGACCTTAAATATCATCAGTAACTCTTGCCACTTTCAGTTCCTACAAAATTGAAATTTTTTAATGACTTTCAGCAAGGTCATGGCTCTTCCACTGCATCAATGTGATAACCACCCAAGCCAAGGTCACCACCCAAGTATATTTCCCCTCTGCTGCCAAAATCTAGATTAGAAGCTTGTTTAAAGCAATAATAACTGCTGTTCTGCTGTACAAAAAACATTATGGTTTGCTCTTACATGTTTTTTATCAGAATAGCTTAGTTGAATTACTACCTTCTGGCCCCATGTACACCATTTATAATCCTATACACAATTATAAATACACAGCACATAAGGATTTATGTACTTGTTCGTGAAAGCCAGTGCTTTCAGATGGGATTCTTATAACATTCCTTGCCTTCCTAAAAAAACTTTGTTTCACTTCAACAGTATGAACACAGAATAAGCAGCAATTAGACCCACCTACACTGCTTCTCCAAACACAATAGCATTCTCCCAAAAATGCCAAAAGGTGAAAATCCAAAGTGACAAGATCATTTTCCCTTGCCATTTCAAAAGACTAAGATTAAACCTACATTATTCAGCTCTGTGTGGTTCACAGAATGCCAAGAGAACAGGAACTAGAGAATCCATGAAATGTAGAGTGGTACCAAACTGGCGAGTATCAGCAAGTATAACAAATCCTTACCTAGGCTAGTTGTAGTAGACTTTGTGGCAGCATAATAAATCAAATGCCAACTTGGTTAATTGCAAATTTGGTGGAATTGGTCATTTTGGAATGGAAATTTTGAGCCACACTAAAAGCAAGGTGCAAGACTAAAGCTTGTGCATGTGTGTGCATATCAAGGAGGGATTGCGCAGAGAGGAAAAATTCAATAGGAGCAATTCTATTTTAAAATTTTCTGAACCAATTTCAAACGTTCCTTTACTTGTGCTGTATATTTAGTTTCGGTACTTGAAGGTTCAACATTTATAAAGTTAAAACAAAAAAGATGCTTTGAGAGGGAGCCGAGGGAAGCCATCTTAGAAAGTCCAGTTTCTTGATACCAGATAGCAACAGAATGAGCAACGAAGCTTTGCTACCTTGCTCACAGGGTATTTGTGCTTCAGCCCCATTTCTTTTACAACCAGACATATACAACTCATCTTAACATCGCTCTATTATACAAGGTAAATAGCAAGCAACAAATTACAGAAAAAGCAACTTTAACTTAGAGGAAAAGGAAAGTCAAATCACAAGACTAGCTGAGACTCCAGCAACCTTACTTTACATACAAAGTTCATAAACATTTGCATCGTATGAAAATGTACCTTTTGCATATCAATCAATGTTTTAATCCATATGGTGCATAGTCACACAATTTACATCAGGCAGGGACTGAAGCTTCTATGGAAATGTTGATGCAAGATCTTGAACTCAGGTCTATGATACTCTTTCCAATATCATTATTTATCCCATTCAATGTAACAGTCTTACAGTCTTATATGCCCACTAGCAAAAACAGTCAAAGTAATCTTTCTAATGGGACATTGGATTCTAGAAGATAAAGGTTGGTTGGTCATTACATAGTTGAGCCCAATTGGAACAGTACATTCAACACCCAATGCCAAAACTCAGCAATGCATAAGGTGTACTGAAATGTACAAATGACCTGAAAAGATGATGTTTTAAAAATAAAAAACATTTTGCATAGTTTGCCTGAAAGGTGTTGCCTAAGTGAGCTTCATCTGGCCAACAATGGGAGCACATTGCCTTTTGTTTCGCACTTCTTGTAATTGAATTGGTGATTTTATTGACATTTTAAAACGATCTGTATTCATTTAACCCTACTGCTCTCAACACAGACCATCGCCGCCACTTTAACAACTTGTAGTCTTCAGACTATAAAGTTACACGTCATTCGCAGCCGAAACACTGCGAACACCTCAAACTATTAAGTATGCAACACACTCAGCAGTTCAAACTCTTGCCTTAATAGTCTGAGGTGGATAAAACAAAGCAAAATATAATAAAAAGTCACAGTTATATAAAAAAGTAAAAGTGCATTGAGTGGGTTCAAGTAGGATGTAGAGATGTATAAGGTTGTATGCACATGTATTACTGGTCATCGTTTGACTGCCCTCCGGGGATCTCTTCCATTACTTATAGGTGCAACTCCAGATCCTTGGGTTACAGTAGTCATCTGTGGTGAAGTTATTGGTCCACGTCCATTACTCCTTCCACCTACAAAGTTAGGGTTCTGCTGGTTATTGCTTGAGGGGGGAGTGCCCCCTGGCAGAAACACGCTTTGCGAGCCATTTCCTAAATAGAAATCATTGACAAAATCCTCTACATTAATACTTCATCCTCCTCCAAATATTTTAAACACTTCACAAGTTACAATTTGGAATGATTCGATCAAAAGAAAAACAGGGGAGAAAATAAATCAAGCTGGTTACTGAACTGCAAGTTAGAGATCTTTATACCCGATAGGTCAATACAGGGAACCCTATTTTCAGTGTAGTGATGCCTCACTTGTAGCACAGCTCTACTGGTGATTCATGCTAAACAGAAGCACAGTAAACCTGCCAATCCTGGTTAAAAATGCCCAAATTCCAGGCCATCAGATTGCCTTTGCATTGTATACAAAAAGTGACGCTAGTGGATTTTGCACTTAATGTCTGCAGCAGCTTAAACACAATACAAAATTACAACTGTATAGCTCCTTTCACATTGGGAGGACGTTCCAAGTTGCTGAACAGTCAGGGATTTGGACCTGAGCTGGGAGTCGGGATCGGGGAGGGTGGAGGGCAGGGAGGGTGGCCAAAGGCTCGGTCGAAGAGGAGGGTTTTGAGACGCACCTTGAAGGAGGCAACGGAGGGAGCGAGGCAAAAGGAACGTGGGATGGAGTTCCATAGGGTGGGGGCAGAAAGGCTGAAGGTTAAAGACTGGAAGTTGGCAATTTTTTATCATGCCTTGCTTGTAACAGTTGCTAAAGACATTGGACCCAGCAAACTGGCCTATTAAGGTTTCTTTGTGCAACTTCACAGGCAGGTTTTCTTAGCATTCACTTCAAAGGGGAGGCTTATCCTAGAAAATGTTCATCCACATTCAGTCACAACATTACAACTGCTGGGTGGAGCTGATGTTTGCATTTTGAAAAAAAAACACAAGAAAACTGGGGTACAGCAAGAAGCGTGTAAAGCAAAAAATTTAAGGCTCATTTAAAATCACAATAGTTCAATACAATTAAGTTGGGCAAGCAGCATCTCAACAGTTTAACTGAACATAATTGGTGAGCTAAGCTCTGGTCTAATTAAGGATTCTGCAAACATGGAGCATTGAATTTTACAACAGTTATATGATGTTATTGATACATCAAATGAGCTTTACCCATGCACCAGCTTACCAGGTCAAACAACACGGACACTATCGGTCTGAATGTGGCTTTAATATAAAGGGGACATGGGGTAAAATAGGCTATGAGAAGCACAGTGCAGAATACGTAGGTTGCTTTGATGGTTACACAAACAGGATGGGCTTGCTGCTCAGCGATCACTGGTGTCATGTCTGCCGTTTGAAGGCAGACCGATTTGAGATAAGCCAACAAAAAAAGTGCTCCAAATATCATGGCTCGATTTTAATGGTTCATCTCAATGGAACTCGTAAAAAGTTGTTAAACGCATCACTGTAACATGTAACAGAACGTCCACTTGATAGGGGTTGCAGTCAAGTTCCATTATATGCCCGAGGCTGGAGCCCGACATTCACAACAGAACCAGTCATGACCTCTGGGCCAGTCTACCTGAAAACGTCTTGTTTATTGCCATGACAGCAATCAGCAACCCATTCGAGGAGAATGGTATCCAGCACAGGAGAAAGATTTTAACTGCAGATTTGTTTAGATTTAATAAGGAAAAACAACCCATATTATCTCAACTACCCCTGGTATGTATATCGTCAGATTTCAGACCAAGGACAAGTTTAGAAATGCATTCCCATGGAAACAGTTTCTATCTTCAAAAAAAACCTCTGGCTCCAAAAATAATCTTACTGCACTACATGTAACAGGGAATTTAATGCATCACATTGTGATTTGAAAATTTTGCATTTTGAATATTCCTATAAGCTCTTGACTTGTAGTAAAAGCTAACTTTTCTAGGCTCTTCTTCATAGGGTGCTTAACACACTGGCAAAACCCACCCAGACAGAGAACAATTAATCCACAGTACAATGCAACTCGACTTGAGTTAGATAGACCAGTGAAGTGGTGAGATTAGTTTTCAATCCATGCGAGAGAGACACACGCGCACACACACACACACACACATTCATAAAATAAGCATAATTTGCAACAGAAGGCTGTACACATGTACTGTTGTACAGATGGAAGAATTTGTCACTGAAACATTGAAATCAGTGAAGGAGCTGCTTTGGAGGAAGATGCATATTGGTTTCTTGCAATCTGACCAAGTGTCATTAACAAAGTAAACTTGCCATATAATTGAATTCACATACAGCAAGCTCACACAGATTAATGAGCCTCTTAGATATTAGACAAAAGATAACTTCAACTTTGATCAATCATTGAAGGGCCTGTCTAAAATGTTCTACCAAGTGTTATCAAATTAATAGTTTGTTTAAACAATTGGATAAAATGACCACATGGACAGGAGAGCAAGCAAATACCAGGTAAAAGCCTTTAACAGAAGCTTACTCTTCGGCAAGATGCAAAGCATTAGTGATCTTTTATCAGCTGAGAATGGAGTGGTGCTGATGGTAGCTATGAAGACATCAGTGTCCCATCTTTGGCACGTGGAATAGAACTACTGGGGCCCCACAATCCTGGAGTAAGCAGGGGGAGCTCCAAGCAGTTTCCTTCATTCCACACTTTGCTCCTTGTAAATCAGTTTGGTTAAAAAAATCTACTTTACCAACTTACCCGTTTGTATCTGTCCATTTGTAGCCAGTTGATTAGGAGAATTGCTTCTATGATCATTCTGTGCCTTGATAAAATATAGCAGTGAATAAAGGGCAATGAGGAATAGAAAATGTCATGAAAAGCGCTATCAATAATAAAGCAAGACTGATATTCATTTAATTCCATTTGAAAGAATAATCTGCCAGAATAGCAGAGCATTGAATACTCCTAATTTCACTTACAACTTTGTTCGTTTGGTTGTTCTGATTGAGGTATTCTGGATTTGGTTCACTAAAGTTGGGCACTTCTGAATATACCATACAAAACCTGACAGCAAAACAACATCACATTAGTGCACATTTCACTTATTTTAGTTAATCTGGTTCATACACTTGAGCGTTAATAGTTCTTTTTTTTATTTCCTACATGAGGGTAGATGCACATCCATTCACAGAGGAAGTGACAACTATTCATTTTAAAAAAAACATTTATTTATATGGGTGATATTTCAATTTTAAACAGCCCTGGAGAAACTTGCATGTAGGTCCTTCCGAGTGAGTGTAACAAAGCTGAACCAATAGTGGATGACAATTCATCATTTTTATCCAGCTATGTTTTAGGATACAGTCCATCATTTCTTAGTCTACTATATAAGCAAAGGCTGAATGACTTGCAGCCCTGGAGAATGCTACGCCTGAGATTACTCTCCCCGCCAAGGAACAAGATTGAAGTAAAAGGAAAAATATTCTACACAGGGTTTAATGGCAACTGATCTGCAGATTAACTAGCAGTTTTCAGTGCTTGGTTAGCATTGAAATCCCACTGCTTGCAACTTCTACCACTGTCACCTAAGGTTCATGACAATGAACCAATCAACACTGGCAGCCTCCATCAAGAAGCCAGAGCCTGAGCAAACTGTACTTTCCACAGTAGTTGGGACAAAAAACCTGTATTGTATTTACACTGAAAGACTTTGATGTGTGGAAGGATGTTCACAGGATGAAACGCCCCACTTTTTCCAATGATTGTGGACGCAGAAACATCAGGCAAGAACTTGTTTTAAGTTCTCCTTTGACCTTACATAGATAAAGCAACGGTCAATTAGACTGGCAATGGTTGATTACAACATGCACACCAGAAGTGAGTGATTCTGAAAGTATAGGCTTTATTACTTCTTGAAATATTATGTCAAATTTAGCAAAACAGAAGTTTTAACCTCTAACCTCAATAGATTATCGAAATACAGGGCACATTAAAGGATGATCTTTTACTGTCCTTTAATCTTCGCATCCTCTAATCAATATTATTTTTTCTATTTAAAAAAAATCAACAAATTATGGTGCTACACTGATCTCTCAGCTGGGAGTTCACTTGCTTAAGGACATTATGATGGAGTCACCAAGCCACCAAGTTCAAAACCGCCAAATAAATGCAAGCTTCTGTGCAGAACTGGTTCTGTTTACAGAAAGCCAGTTTAATATTCTAATATCCCACTCCCATGAACGAGAGCTAAAATCATAAGACTTGAAGCAGCACTATTCACTCAGAATTATTTAGGACTAAACTTAAAATGCACGGATTTATAAGCACAAATTATTTGAGATTTCTAATTATTTTGGCCAGCAGACTGTATACCATGACACTGGTAAATAAAGCAGCTCAAAACTTCTTGCACTGCCGCAGTGTCTCTAGAATTTCCTGATATACTCACTCTCCGATTTTATGAAGATCTCCCCCTCTTCCTGTGTACAACGTCAGGCAACTTTTCCATATAGAAGCATAACTGGACAAGAGAAGGTCATGGAGGGTCAGTGAAAGATCAGATTAGACAGTGGCATCTCAAATGCAATGCAAATGTAAAATATAAGCACTTGAGTAAAGGCCTGTACTAAATGAATCAAAATAACACTCTTTTTGGCCCCCTTCCCACACACACACGTCACATTTTGACATCAGTTTGGGACACTTATTACCTTCTACCACGAGAGGGCAGGGTGGTGCAGACCAAAAACTTCTTTGTAATTTCCATCAAGGGAAACTACAAACGTAGGAAAGGCCTAGTTTGCTATTTTTTTTCCTTTTTCTAATACTGGTGACCGCAGTGCATCCAGTATCCCTACATGGACCTGGCAAAGGCCACCCAACAAGAACAGGAGATTCTGAACACTGGAGATTGCGGTTTAAAACTGTGAAGCTTCTGTTTTTTGTCATCCCAAATAGATCAGGGCCATTCAATACAGCATGGTTCTGAATGCAAAGCATGCTTTCTACGCTTGTCTGCACAGCTAAACACCAATGCACCGCCTTTCTCATCTCCAAAGAAAAGCTTCTTCGCCGTTTAAAAAAAAATCTTCCAACTTTCAGAAGGGCCAGGTGCTCTCTCTCTCCAGATGTTGCACACCTCACCTGCTCAGTGGTGCAGCTGCAGGAACCCATTACTCCTGTAGTATCAGGAAGACACAAGGGCTGTTTAGCTTCCAAGATGGAGTGTGGGGCCTTACTGTTCGCAGCTTACAACAGTTGAAGCAGCTCGTCTGACATCAGCCAACGAAGCAAAGTGCAGCTTAACATCCAAGATGGCACCAGAAGTGGCAATGCTTGTACCTTGGAGGACAAGGATCTGGGCAACTGGAGAATGAAATGTTCGCCGTTCAAATATCTGTACAATTAAACAGGCGATACCCGATCCTTAAAAGCTCCCTGAACAATACAGCTAAATTTCTATAAACTTCTTTGCTTGCCTTAAGACCTTTTTAAAAAATATATTAATAGGGAATATGCCAGAAACAACTGACAAACATGTAGGAGCATTCAAATTTCATTTAACCAGTAAATTTGACTCATTGCTGACACACAGAGGGATACTAAGTAGATGAACTCTTGGAACATTAAAGAAACACTGTGTGCCTCTGTAATTGCGCAACGTTATTTAAATAGCAAATTGATGCAGCACAGGCTTACTTGACATTGTTTATTGCATGTTTCTTTAAAAGTATTCTTTGATTATTAGCATGTCAGTATTAAGGCAAGTCTTAAGTGGTGCCTTAACACCATTGTAGAGTTATTGCTCAGAGTCAAGACTAGATTCAGATTGACCCAGTCAGAAGAGGGCTTTCTGGAGTTCAGGATTACAACATACTATTGGGATAAAGCTTCTATCCAGTTAACGGAGACAAAAATGCTCATTGTTGGGTTAAAACTCAACTCCCAATGTCTTTGATTGCAATAAATAAATTCAGATTGGCAATAGATGCTTGATAAAACTCACTACAGGTTTTTCATATAAATTAATCTCATCTTCCTGAACAGATCTAAAATGTCAAATCATGTGCTCCTTTGGCCTCTCACCACTGCTCTGAAGTCAGCCACCAGTAAATGAAGGGATAGTAGATTTTCCTCCAGTTCTCCCTGGCAGTAGGGAAGCACCTGATCTCTAGCACCTCTCCAAGGCACAAAGGCTGGTCAGACCATGGATACAGACCCACAGCTCTCTCTCTCTCTCTCTCTCTGGTTAAGTTAGTGTGGAGAAGTTATTTACTGAATCCTGCAATACAGGCCAAGGTTCTTCCTGTTTTCAAGCCTGCTCAATCTGCATATTCATTTTGTTCATTTATGACCTAACCAACCATATTGGCAGGAAAAGGGGCTCTCCTCTACGTGTGAGTCACATCTTGCACAAGGGCAGGCAGGAAGGTAGAGGAGGAAGGTGTATTACTCATCCTAATGATCTGATAACTCGCCCATTGGCACACAAGTTCTAACACCCCCAATGATCTGGGTCTCTTTTTTCTAAGAAATAAAGTAGCCTTTTCCCACTTCCCCAATTAAATCTACTGCTTTTTTTTGGTTTGGTCACACAAAACTGGTATGCATCGCACGTCTTGACACATACAGAAACCCATCACACAGAAATTTCCCTGTGCCTGGGATGGAAAGCACACTCTCCATCCTGAGGGGCATTTACAGTGAGATAACAGTCATCCTCCTTGATAGACTGCTTCAGTTATTAAATACCCAACTGTATCGTTAGGTTAGTTCAGACAAGTTTTATCCCGGCCTGGACTCTGGGCCATTTTGACATACCCTCTGGTCAAGCGAATGATATCCCCAGGTTGTACCAGAGCTCCAACCTCATCCCACACTGAAATTGTGATGCTGCCGGTCTTATCGGCCACTTTGCACGACCTCACTTCATGCCCATCTTTAGTTTTGGTAACTCGACCTGCACAAGAGAGTGAACAGACAGACAAGACAGACAAACACACACACACACACAAAAAAAAACACTAAAATTAGTTTCAGCAAGGCACGCATTTTTTTTTGTTGCGGGGGTTTAAAAATAGAATTTAATTTAAGCGCTTAATTTTGTTTTAGAAACCTAAAAGCCGGTCAAAATGCGACGGGCAGCCAGCAAATAACTCAGTTAAGTAAAAAAAAAACCATATCTGATAAGAGAGAGAGATAGAGACGACGACAACAAGATTACATTTGTATAGCGCCTCTCACGTCGGGAGGACATCCCAAGGCGCTGGACAGCGCACAGCATTTCAGACCCGAGCTGGGGTCAGGGGCGCGGGGAGGGGGGTGGGGGGGGGAGACATTTCAGAGCAAAAAGGTGTCATTTTTTTTCATACCCCCCCCCCACCCACCCCCGGCCCTCACACACTGGAGGAGACTGTCCGGCTCTTCACCTGCTGCTCAAAAGTAACCAAGAGTTCACATTATTATTATTATTATTTTTTGTGGGGGGGGGGGAAATGCTATCAAATAAAAAGAGTTTTACGGAGTCCACTCCTTTTCCTTTTTTTAAAAAAAAAAAAAAAAATAATTAACCCGTTAATTTTAAAAATAATTTTAATTTTGAATTAAACACTTTTAAAATTTAAACCCAAAAAAAGTTGTACTTTTTATAGAATTGGACAAACAAAAAAAAGTCTATAAATTTTTGAAGTCGGGAACAGGAGTCCATCCCCTCTCTCTCCTCTTCCCTCCCTCCCTCTCCTCTCCCCTCCCCCTCCCTCTCCTCTTCCCCTCTCCCTCCCTCTCTCTCCTCTTCCCCTCTTCCCTCCTCTCTCTCTCTCCCTCTTCCCTCCTCTCCCCTCTTCCCTCCCTCCTCTCCACCCTCTCTCCTCTTCCCTCCCTCTCTCCCTCTTCCCTCCCTCTCCTCTTCCCACCCTCTCTCCTTTTCCCTCCCTCTCTCTCCTCTCCCCCCCTCCTCTCCACTCTCTCCTCTTCCCTCCCTCTCTCCTCTTCCCTCCCTCCTCCTCTCCACCCTGTCCTCTTCCCTCTCTCTCTCCTCTCTCCCCTCTTCCCTCTCTCCTCTCCTCCCTCCCCTCTTCCCTCCCTCCTCTCCTCCCTCTCTCCTCTTCCCCTCATCCCTCCTTTATGTATGAATGTATTTGTGTACAACTCACTCTCTAAACTTACCGATTTCCAGCACAATAAAGACGACATTTAGGTTTTTCATTCCGGGCTTAATGTCTTTCACGAACACGTAAGTGTCGTTGATCAGATTCATACCGGAGGCCCCGGAGGCGGCGGCGGCCCCGGAGGCGGCGCAGAGGTGACGGGAGGACGGCGACAGGACGAGAAGCATCACCCGGGGGGTGAGGGGGGAGGTGGGGGGAGAGGGGACTTCACCCCCACACCCCCCAACACCCACTCTCTCTCTCACTCAGTCAGTCAGTCACTCTCTCTCTCTCTCACTCCCCCCCCCCCCCCCGGGAGCTGGGAGGGAGGGAGGAGGGAGGGAGAGGGGACACGGGCCGCTCTGCCGAGCCTCAGCTCCTCACTGTCAGAGCCCAAAGGGGTTCTCAGGCCCCGAATGGCTTCAGGTTTGGAGGCTCCGACTGTCCGCTCCCAAACCTCAACCCCCTCCTCCTCCTCCTCCTCCCCCCTCACAAGCTCTCCCCTCCCCTCCCTCACAAGCTCTCCCCTCCCTCACAAGCTCTCCCCTCCCTCCCTCACAAGCTCTCCCCTCCCCTCCCTCACAAGCTCTCCCTTCCCCTCCCTCACAAGCTCTCCCCTCCCCTCCTCCCCCCCTCACAAGCTCTCCCCTCCTCCTCCCTCACAAGCTCTCCCCTCCCCTCCCCCCTCACAAGCTCTCCCCTCCCCTCCCTCACAAGCTCTCCCCTCCCTCCTCCCCCTCACAAGCTCTCCCCTCCTCCTCCCTCACAAGCTCTCCCTTCCCTCCTCCCCCCTCACAAGCTCTCCCTCCCTCCTCCCCCCTCACAAGCTCTCCCCTCCTCCCTCACAAGCTCTCCCCTCCCTCCTCCCCCCTCACAAGCTCTCCCCTCCCTCCCCCCCTCACAAGCTCTCCCTCCCTCCTCCCCCCTCACAAGCTCTCCCCTCCTCCCTCACAAGCTCTCCCTTCACCTCCTCTCCCTCCCTCACAAGCTCTCCCCTCCCCTCACAAGCTCTCCCCTCTCCCCCCTCACAAGCTCTCCCCTCCTCCCCCCTCACAAGCTCTCCCCTCCTCCCCCCTCACAAGCTCTCCCCTCCCCTCACTGTCTCTGCCTTTCACACTCTCTTCTCACAATCTCTTCCTTCTTTCAACCTCTCCCTCTCACTATCTTTCTTTCAATCCCGCTCTCCTCTCACAATCTTTCTCGTTCAATCTCTCTCCCAATGTCTCTCTCCTCTCAATCTCTCTCTTCTATCAAAACTCTTCCCTTCACAATCTCCCTTTCTCTCTCTCTCTCTCTCCTGACAACCTTTCACTCTCCTCTCAATCTTGTTTTCTCTCCCCCTCTCTCTGGGTGTCACTGAATGAACAGCACCAGCTCCTTCCCTCCCTCTTCAAAAAAAAACCACCCAAAAAATAAGGCTGATCCTCTTGGGTGAAAGAGGAGGGGGAGGATGGGGGTGTAAAGACCCTTTTTTCTCTCCCCCCTCCACCCACCCTTTCTTTTTTGCTGCTGCAGCTCCACGTAAAGTGATTTTTTTCCTTATATATATATATTAAAATTCCACCCCAATTAAATAACCAGATACACCTCTATCCCAGACAAATGACAGAGAGTGTGTGCTTGTCAGCTCGATCCTCTCCTCTCTGTGGGGTATATATATATATATTTTTTTTTGCACTCAGTAACTCAAACCCTTTCCCCTCTTTTCTTTCTCTCGGTGTGTCCTTTCCTGACTCCTGATTTCAAACGGTTCCCTTGGACCTCGAGAGGCAGATCCTGGCGATGAATCCCCTTCCTCCTCTCTCTCCTTTTTTTTAAAAAAAAATCCCCTTCTTCTCCTCCTCCCCCCTCCTCACCCCTCTTCTTCCTCCTCCTCCTCCCTCTCCTCCTCGGCCACCTCCACTAATTAATTATCAACGGAACAAGTCCAGAGAGAGAGAGAGACAGAGATAAGAAAGAGACAGACAGAGAGAGAGAGAGAGAGTGTGTGAGTGAATGAGAGAGAGAGCCACGCTGCGCTCCTGCCCCCTTGACTCTCGGCCCCGCCCTCTTCTCCACGTCACTCCACTCGCCCCCCCCTTTTCCTCTCCTCGCCTCTCCCCGGCGGACGCAACCTCCGACTGAGCGGGGCGGCCGCCCGGGCGCCGCCTTTTATAGCCGACCGGTGGACGGGCGGAATCCACTTCGCGGCCGTCGCGAAATCCAGTCCTGTCGTCATGGTCACGTGACGTCACTCGGCCCGCGCGGGGGGGGGGGAGGGAGGGCGGGCGGAGAGGAGCTGTCAATCAGCGGCGCGGCCCGACCCCCCCAACGGTTGTCGCTTTGATACGAAAGTGACATTGCGGCCGCTCCACGTGGCGCTCTCTCTCTCTCTCTCTCTCACTCACTCACTCACACACGTGGTCCCTTCTTCTCATTGCACCCGTCCGACAGCACTGCCTCCCTGTCCTCTGGCCTCCCCCCACCCCCCACCCCCCCCCCCCGAGCCCTCCGCTCCGCTCCACCCGCGGCGGCCGTGCCTTCAGCCGCTACGCCCCGAGGCTCTGGAAGTGCCTTCCTCACTCCCTTCGCCGCACTCCCCTCCCTCTCCATTTTCTGGTCTCTGCCGAAGACCTTTCTTTTCGACCGCGGCCTTTCGTCACTCCCCCCCCCCCACCCCCACCCCCGCCGCCCCCGGCCCGCCCACTCCTCCCCCCCCCCCCCCCCCCGGCTCGGACCCGGGATCCGTCACTGTAAGGCGCTCTGAGACGCCGTCCGGCGCGGAGGGCGCTATATAAATCCAAGTTGTTGTTGCACTGCTCTGTTCATTTTTTTTATATACTGTATAAATACATATACTGCGTATATAAAGTCTTGTACACCCCCCATCCTCGCCCAACTCCACTGGCTACCCATCACACAGAGGATACAGTTCAAGATCCTGGTCCTCACCTTCAAAGCCCTCCACGGTCTTGCTCCCCCCCCCCCCCCCCCACCCCACCCCTCCTAACCCCCCCAACCACCCTGTTCACTCCTTCCGCTCAGCGGGCTCCGGCCTGCATCACGTCCCCCGCCTCGCTTGCCTTCCGCCACTCTGCACCCACCCTCTGGAACTCCATCACGCAGACCCTCAATCTCAATCTCACCATCTTCAAGACCCACCTCAAAACCCTCCTCTTCGATCGTGCTTTTGATCTCCCTGCTTCCCCCCCACCCCCAGCCCTCCAACCGCCCCCACCCTGATACCCAGCTCAGGTCCGTAACTCTGTCCAGCGCCTTCGGATGTGAAAGGCACTGTACAAATGTCATTTTGGTGGTGGTGTTGTAGCATATTGATTAGAGCACACGCCTCGTGAGCAAGTGGCCCCAGGTTCGATTCCCGGGCAGGGCACAGAACCTTAGGTAAGATTGCTTACTCCACACCTCTGTTTACCAAAGTCGGAACCCGGTTCGCTTTCTGGGGGTAATAATGAATCCCTTCGCTTTGGGAGACGTCTCAATGACATGATAACAACAACAAGATTACTTTGTATAGCGCCATTCACGTCAGGAGGACGTCCCAAGGCGCTGGACAGTGTATAGTATTTCAGACCCGAGCTGGGGTCAGCGGGGGAGAAGGGAGGGGAGGGGAAGGGGGTGGTCGATGGCATAGTTGAAGAGGAGGATTTTGAGGCGGAACTTGAAGGAGGCTAAGGAGGGGCCGAGGCAGATTGATTGGGGGATGGAATTCCAGAGGTTGGGGCAGAGTGGCTGAAGGCTCTCCGCCAATGGTGGGCGGGTGGGTCGGGGGACATGGAGCAGGCCAAAGCCGGCTGAGCGGAGGGAACGGGAGGGTTGGTAGAGTGTTAGGAGGTCGCAGAGGTAGGGTGGGGTGAGGCCATGGAGGGCATTGTATGTGAGGACCAGGATCTTGAACTGGATCCTCTGAAGGATAGGGAGCCAATGGAGTCGGGCGAGAATGGGGGAGATGGGGCACGGAGTTTGGTGCGGGAGAAGACACGGGCTGCAGAGTTCTGGATTATCTGCAGTCTGGAGAGAGGAGTTGGGAATGCTGACAAGCAGGGCATTTGCATAGTCGAGCCTGGAGGTGATGAAGGCATGAACAAGAGTTTCAGCGGCCTGAGGGGTGAGGTAGTAGCGGAGTCGGGTGATGTTATGGAGGTGAGGGAAGGCAGACCGGGTCATGGCTTGGATGTGGGAAAGAAGACAGTTAAGGGTCGAACAAGACCCCCAGGTTCCTGTCTGGCTGGTGAGTTGTAGTGTGCAACCATGGAGGTTGATGCTGCCAGAGCCTGAGGTGCTGAGGCGCTGGTGTGAGCCAATCAGGAGGGCCTCAGTCTTGTTCACATTCAACTGTAGGAAATTTGCCCTCATCCAGGACTTGATGTCCAACAGGCAGTCTGTCAGGACAACAGTGGGCCTGGAGTTGAGGGTGGAGGCAGAAAGATAGAGTTGGGTGTCATCTGCGTACATGTGGAAGTTGACCCCATGTCTGTGGATGATGTCACCAAGAGGGAGCATGTAGATATTAAAGAGAGGGCCAAGGACAGAGCCCTGGGAGATGCCAGACGTGACAGCGCGGGGGCTGGAGGAGAAACCGTTAGAGGCAACAAAGTGGAGACAGTGAAAGAGATAGGATTCGATCCAGGCAAGGGCAGGTCTGCGAAGATTAAGTAAAAAGGAGAGGCAGTGTATGAGGATGGAGTGGCAGCAGAGAGGTCGAGGAGGACAAGGAGGCAGAGTGAGCCCTGATCACAGATGTTCAGAATGTCATTAGTGACTGACCAGGGCTGTTTCCGTGCTGCGGGCAGAGTGGAAGCCGGATTGGAGGGGTTCAAAGAGGGAATGGCGAGAAAGATAGGAGCGGAGCTGGGACGCAACGACTCATTCCAGGACCTTGGAGAGGAATGGGAGGTTAGAGATGGGGCAGTAGCTGGAGAGGAGGGATGGGCCCAGGGAAGGTTTTTTCGGGATGGGGGTGATGGCGGCTGTTTTTAGAGGGGTGGGAATTGAACCGGTGGACAAAGAAAGGTTGATGACGTCGGACAGGAGAGGGGCCAGAAGGTGGAGCTGGGAGGTGAGAAAAGAGGTGGGGATGGGATCGAGGGAGCAGGTGGTGGGTTTGAGTTTGCGATAAGGCAATATATCGAATGCAAGGATTATTATAAATGTATATATATATATAGCCCCTTATCACATCATTGAGACATTTCAAAGTGCTTTATAGAATATACTGTT